ACAAATAGGTGAGTACAAATAGGTGAGTACACACACACACGTGCCGTGTATGTAAAACTTGCGATTTTGGATTATATAGCAACGCTCTTCTTGCCGAACAACCCAAGCGAAAGTTTGTGTATGCAGTAATTTCGCAAAAATCATTCTGAACCTAATAAAAAAATATTTCATTGTGTTTTTTGTTAAATTACTGTAAACTTATCTAAAATACATTTAGTTGGCTTTGACTAAATTAAATTGTGCTCGTTATAAGGTTAGGCAAGTTTTCTAAGGTTCTTTTGGTACAAATTTAAGTTTTTAATTTACATAATGAAAAAAAAATATATATTTTAAAGTATAAGAGAAAATTTTAGAAGACTTAATTTTAAATGAGCTCTTGCTAATTGACCAGTTTTACCTATTCGGCACGACTTTGGCAATCAATACAGTTCCATACTAAATTTCTAACTCGGGTCATTAAGTCACACATATTAGCACTAATAACCTATATGTATTACGTACATGCAGATTTCCCCTACGTAAATTTATTATGATTATTATTATTAATAACAGATTCCCGAGGAAGGACAAAATCCATAGGAGTCATGAAGTACCTAGGGAATAGGAAGAGAACTTAAAATTCTTGGATCAAGAGCCCGTCAACATCAAGACACCCCTTCAGGATATCAGTTTATTAAATAATTTTTTTTCCATATCACTAAATGCAATAAAATTGTTTTCCAAATACAAATCAATAGTATTACAATATATTTATATTGCAATTCCGTACTTATTGGTACTGTATCATATATAGTTGTATGTCAGAGCTACACAAAAAAAATATAAAATGAAGAAGCTTATAATAAATTTATATTGTACAACTCAAATGGCTTAATATCATAAGAATATCGATAATAATTAAGCCACAAGATTGTAAATAGGTTAGTAAGAAAATCGTTTTTTTTTTTTTTTTTTTTAGAATTCACACATTTTCTTTCTATAAAAATACAAGTATGCTATCCATAGCCAGAAATAAATTTTATTAATTCTTTGGGAAAATTATTTTGGGATATATAAACAAATATAATACATTTATTTAGGGACGTGGATCACGTTGTTTGCCAATCAACAGTTAGTACTGACACTCCTGGTAACAGACAACTCAAAGTTTTACATCTACCGTCGACTAAATAAGGTTAACATAGACTGGTTATCTTAAGTGGGTTTAATTAATATAATGTTTCTTACATATGCACAACATAAACGTCCATGGCACAATTTAACATTGAACATTTTTATAAATTACAACCAAGCATACACAAAGCCCTGATAGCCACAATTATCTACAAATACAGTAAGTACAGAGAGGTAAGTCAGTAATTCAACAATTTATTGACCCACCTGTCAACCACTTGATAAAATCTTCAAGACGCCAACGTTAAATCGAATTCTTAAAAGCGAAATGAACAACGCAGCGGGAAATTACCTTGCCAGACTTAAGGTGCTTGAGTGTATCCCGTCTCCTAATGGTCTTTTTGAACTCCCCGAGGCTCCTCAAGTACTCAAAATTGTTAGGAGTCTTGGGGGACTCAGGCAGACCTTTCCTCCTGGGCGCCATAGTTTGTTTTTGAACACTAGTTCTTCCTTCTTCCACCAGGTGGCACCACCTCCCTAACATCTCCATTATCATTATTTTATGATTGTTTTTGTAAATTTATTCACGTACACAGAAATACAGTTACATAAATTATCATACGTAGTAACATATGTGTGTAGGTTACTCAGGGTAACTACAAAAATGTCAGTGAATTATTTTAACATTTACCCCATAAATGATGATAATAATACTATATTAATAATAATAATTATTATTTTTATACTTAATAGTTATAATGATAATTACCATTTCAGTTACTACTACTACTATTATTATTACTACACTACTATTACTACTACTACTACTACTACTACTACTACTACTACTACTATTATTACTACACTACTACTACTACTACCACTACTACTACTACTACTACTACTACTACTATTATTACTACACTACTACTACTACTACTACTATTATTACTACACTACTACTACTACTACTACTACTACCACTACTACTACTACTGCGATTACAACTATTACTACTAGTACTACTAATACTACTACTTGTACTACTACTACTGTTACTACTACTATTATTACTACTATTTGCACTACTACTATTACTAATACTACTTGTACTACTACTATTGCTACTACAACTACTACTAGCACTACTACTATTACTTGTACTAAAATTACTAGTACTGCAACTACTAGTACTACTTCTACTATTACTACTACTAGTACTACAACTACTGTTACTACTACTATTACTACTAGTACTACAACTACTGTTACTACTACTATTACTACTAGTACTACAACTACTGTTACTACTATTAGTACTACAACTATTAATACTATTACTACTACTAGTACTACAACTACTGTTACTACTATTATTACTAGTACTGCATTTACTATTTCTACAACTAGTACTATAACTACTATTACTACTAGTAGTACTTCAACTACTATTACTACTACTAGTACTACAACTAACGTCAAAGACCTGGGAGTGATCATGTCGGAGGATCTCGCCTTCAAGGACCATAACATTGTATCAATCGCATCTGCTAGAAAAATGACAGGATGGATAATGAGAACCTTCAAAACTAGGGAGGCCAAGCCCATGATGACACTCTTCAGGTCACTTGTTCTATCTAGGCTGGAATATTGCTGCACACTAACAGCACCTTTCAAGGCAGGTGAAATTGCTGACCTAGAAAATGTACAGAGAACCTTCACGGCGCGCATAACGGAGATAAAACACTTCAATTACTGGGAGCGCTTGAGGTTCCTAAACCTGTATTCCCTGGAACGCAGGAGGGAGAGATACATGATTATATACACCTGGAAAATCCTAGAGGGACTAGTACCGAACTTGCACACGAAAATCACTCACTACGAAAGCAAAAGACTTGGCAGACGATGCAACATCCCCCCAATGAAAAGCAGGGGTGTCACTAGCACGTTAAGAGCCCATACAATAAGTGTCAGGGGCCCGAGACTGTTCAACTGCCTCCCAGCATACATAAGGGGGATTACCAATAGACCCCTGGCAGTCTTCAAGCTGGCACTGGACAAGCACCTAAAGTCGGTACCTGACCAGACGGGTTGTAGTTCGTACATTGAACTGCGTGCAGCCAGCAGTAACAGCCTGGTTGATCAAGCCCTGATCCACCATAAGGCCTGGTCACAGACTGGGTCGATTGGGCGTTGACCCCCGGAACTCTCTCCAGGTAAACTCTAGGTAAACTACAACTAATACTGCATCTGCTATTATTACTATAACTAGTACTACAACTATTACTACTACTAGCACTACAACTATTACTACTACTAGCACTACAACTGCTATTGCTACTACTAGCACTACAACTACTGTTACTACTACTAGTACTACAACTACTATTACTGCAACTTCTGTTACTACTAATACTATTACTGCAACTTCTGTTACTACTAATACTATTACTGCTACTACTACTATTAATGCTACTACTAGTACTACAATTACTATTACTACTACTACTACTATTAATGCTACTACTAGTACTACAATTACTATTACTACTACTACTACAACTGTTGCTACTACTACTACTACTACTACTAGTACTACAACTACTACTACTAGTACTGCAACTATTACTACTACTACTATTGCTACTACTACTAGTACTACAACTATTACTACTACTACTATTACTACTACTACTACTATTACTACTACTAATGGTAGTAGTACTACTACTAGCACTACTACTGTTAGTAAGTATATTCAAATATACACACATAGTTATATCATAAATAGCAGTGTATGTGTAGAGAAGAACACAGGATAACCCAAAAAAAAGTCAAGTGATTTATTTCCATTGGGGTCCTTTTAATACCTTATTATTGTACTAGAAAGGAGATAATATTTTATTATTATATGTACTATCTTATTATTACATGTATATATTATTATGTTTGTTGGGTGTGTGAGAGTTTGTTATTTTTTTGGAAGTTAAGTTTGGTTACATTTTGTCAGTTTTCGGAAGTTATGTTAGAAGTTTAAGTTATGTTTGAAGTTTGTTAAGTTAGGAGTTTGTTAAGTTACATTTGGTCACTTTTCAGAAGTTACGGTGGAAGTTTGTTACGTTGAAATTTGTTAAGTTAGAAGTTTGTTAAGTTACATTTGGTAAATTTTTAGAAGTTACGTTGGAAGTTTTTCAAGTTAGAAGTTTGTTAAGTTACATTTGGTCAGTTTTTGGAAGTTACTTTAGAAGTTTCTTACATTAGAAGTTTGTTAAGTTACATTTGGCCAGTTTTTGGAAGTTACTTTAGAAGTTTGTTACATTAGAAGTTTGTTAAGTTAGAAGTTCGTTAAGTTACATTTGGAAATTTTCATAAGTTACGTTGGAAGTTTGTTACGTTAGAGGTTTGTTACGTTAGAAGTTTGTTAAGTTACATTCGGCGAGTTTTCGGAAGTTACGTTAGGACTTTGTTGCATTAGAAGTTTGTTAAGTTACATTTGGTAAATTTTCAGAAGTTACATAGGAAGTTTGTTACGTTAGAAATGTGTCAAGTTAGAAGTTTGTTAAGTTACATTCGGCGAGTTTTCGGAAGTTACGTTAGAACTTTGTTACATTAGAAGTTTGTTAAGTTACATTTGGTCAATTTTCAGAAGTTACATAGGAAGTTTGTTACATTAGAAATGTGTCAAGTTAGAAGTTTGTTAAGTTACATTTGGTAAATTTTCAGAAGTTACATAGGAAGTTTGTTACATTAGAAATGTGTCAAGTTAGAAGTTTGTTAAGTTACATTTGGTAAATTTTCAGAAGTTACGTTGGAAGTTTGTTACGTTAGAAGTTTGTTAAGTTACATTCGGTGAGTTTTCGGAAGTTGTGTTGTTGGTTTAGCAGTAAGATGCACACAGCAAAGATGGCGGGCAGCTACCGCTTGTTTACACCAGAAACATGGAAAAACTGGGACAAATCTGGGAAAGCAGAAGTGTGAGTTACGTTAGCCATAACTTAAAGACATCCAGCATCATCCCTCCATCCAATACCACAGATATCTTCGGCTTATTTAGTGGAAAATCTGCGTTTTTGACGATGGAAAGGAAGTCCTGGGGTATCGTCTCTGCAGAGAAATGGTCTGATGATACCGACAAGATGTGGAAAAAGACATTAATGTACAGTTTAGGACATTTATTGAAGGAAACGTTTCGCCACCAGTGGCTTCTTCAGTCCTTAGGACTGAAGAAGCCACGAGTGGCGAAACGTTTTCTTAAATACCCTGAAGTGTACGTAAGTCTTTTTCCACATTGTCTCTCCAGTCTGGCTGTTATTTGTAGTGGTATTTACACGAGTTTCTTTGATGTATTGATTAATTTAAGGTCGTGGAGAAGCAGCAGTCGCCATTGTCTGTGGAGAAATAGTTAATTTAAGCACTGGAGATGGTGGTGGTATGTGGTATATATGGGGGGTAGTGGAGCCGGGTGTGGGTAGTAGGGGGGTCATTACCCCCCACTGCAGCTGTGTGGCCCCTTTGGGTTTATAGCTTTATTCTGGTTATCGTTGTTGTTGTATTAATAACCCTCCCATTACTTGTCTAACACTACTTGTCTAGAGGAAATGGTATGGTGATACCGACAAGATGTGGAAAAAGACACTTATGTACAGTTCAGGACATTTATTAAAGGAAACGTTTCGCCACGAGTGGCTTCTTCAGTCCTAATACAGAGAAAACTAAGAAAACACATATATATATAGTGGCAGGAGTCAGGTGAGGTGACGCGTGGGTAGAGGTGGTAGTAGTAGTAGTAGTAGTAGTAGTAATGGAACTAAGGAGGTGAGGCTAGAGAGGGACCTGCTGGCATCAAGTAACACCACTTCCCAGGATGGGTAATATCCTCTTGCTTAGTAATTTTGAAATACTGTAACTACCGGATTTTTGCTTTATAGTGTTACTGACAGAAATTAGTGCAGCTTCAATGCATTTTCTCCGTCTTAAGTCGTCTTCTTTAATAACTAGTTTAGCTTCATTGAATTTCACGAGGTGTCCAACATCGTCTCTATGTTGAACACATGCGTTTTTGCGGTCATCATTTCTGCAAGCATTTTTGTGTTCTGCTATCCTAATGTCCAGAGTTCTGGCTGTTTCCCCTACATATACTTTGTCACACCCCCCACATGGTATAGTGTAGATTCCTGCACTTGTGCCAGAATCATGCTTGGGTTTTTCTGGCACAAGTGCAGGAATCTACACTATACCATTTGGGGGGTGTGACAAAGTATATGTAGGGGAAACAGCCAGAACTCTGGACATTAGGATAGCAGAACACAAAAATGCTTGCAGAAATGATGACCGCAAAAACGCATGTGTTCAACATAGAGACGATGTTGGACACCTCGTGAAATTCAATGAAGCTAAACTAGTTATTAAAGAAGACGACTTAAGACGGAGAAAATGCATTGAAGCTGCACTAATTTCTGTCAGTAACACTATAAAGCAAAAATCCGGTAGTTACAGTATTTCAAAATTACTAAGCAAGAGGATATTACCCATCCTGGGAAGTGGTGTTACTTGATGCCAGCAGGTCCCTCTCTAGCCTCACCTCCTTAGTTCCATTACTACTACTACTACTACTACTACTACCACCTCTACCCACGCGTCACCTCACCTGACTCCTGCCACTATATATATATGTGTTTTCTTAGTTTTCTCTGTATTAGGACTGAAGAAGCCACTCGTGGCGAAACGTTTCCTTTAATAAATGTCCTGAACTGTACATAAGTGTCTTTTTCCACACACTACGTGTACTTGTCTAATTTAACCCTGCCAAATGCAAAGTCATGATGATTGGGGAAGGGCAAAGAAGACTGCAGACACAATATAGTTTAGATGGCCAAAGACTGCAAACCTCACTCAAGGAAAAAGATCTGGGGGTGAGTATAACACCGAGCATATCTCCTGAGGCGCACATCAATCAGATAACAGCTGCAGCATACGGACGCCTGGCAAACCTACAGATAGCATTCCGATACCTCAGTAAGGATTCGTTTAAGACTCTGTATACCATGTGACCAAGTGTGACCATGGCGTAATAGCGCACAAAATGCGTGCTAAAGGAATAACAGGAAAAGTTGGTCGATGGATCTATAATCTCCTCACTAACAGAACACAGAGTAGTAGTAGTCAACAGAGTAAAGTCCGAGGCAGGCACGGTGAAAAGCTCTGTTCCACAAGGCACAGTACTCGCTCCCATCTTGTTCCTCATCCTCATATCTGACATAGACAAGGATGTCAGCCACAGCACCGTGTCTTCCTTTGCAGATGACACCCTAATCTGCATGACAGTGTCTTCCATTGCAGACACTGCAAGGCTCCAGGCAGACATCAACCAAATCTTTCAGTGGGCTGCAGAAAACAATATGAAGTTCAACGATGAGAAATTTCAATTACTCAGATATGGTAAACACGAGGAAATTAAATCTTCATCAGAGTACAAAACAAATTCTGGCCACAAAATAGAGCGAAACACCAACGTCAAAGACCTGGGAGTGATCATGTCGGAGGATCTCGCCTTCAAGGACCATAACATTGTATCGATCGCATCTGCTAGAAAAATGACAGGATGGATAATGAGAACCTTCAAAACGAGGGATGCCAAGCCCATGATGACACTCTTCAGGTCACTTGTTCTATTTAGGGTGGAATATTGCTGCACACTAACAGCACCTTTCAAGGCAGGTGAAATTGCTGACCTAGAAATTGTACAGAGAACCTTCACGGCGCGCATAACGGAGATAAAACACCTCAATTACTGGGAGCGCTTGAGGTTCCTGAACCTGTATTCCCTGGAACGCAGGCGGGAGAGATACATGATTATATACACCTGGAAAATCCTAAAGGGACTAGTACCGAACTTGCACACGAAAATCACTCACTACGAAAGCAAAAGACTTGGCAGATGATGCAACATCCCCCCAATGAAAAGCAGGGGTGTCACTAGCACATTAAGAGACCATACAATAAGTGTCAGGGGCCCGAGACTGTTCAACTGCCTCCCAGCATACATAAGGGGGATTACCAACAGACCCCTGGCAGTCTTCAAGCTGGCACTGGACAAGCACCTAAAGTCGGTTCCTGATCAGCCGGGCTGTGGCTCGTACGTTGGTTTGCGTGCAGCCAGCAGTAACAGCCTGGTTGATCAGGCTCTGATCCACCAGGAGGCCTGGTCACAGACCGGGCTGCGGGGGCATTGACCCCCGGAACTCTCTTCAGGTAAACTCCAGGTACGTCAGGCCCATACTGGAGTATGCAGCACCAGTTTGGAATCCACACCTAGTCAAACACGTCAAGAAATTAGAGAAAGTGCAAAGGTTTGCAACAAGACTAGTCCCAGAGCTACGGGGATTGTCCTACAAAGAAAGGTTGAGAGAAATCGGCCTGACGACACTGGAGGACAGGAGGGTCAGGGGAGACATGATAACGACATAAAATACTGCGCGGAATAGACAAGGTGGACAAAGACGGGATGTTCCAGAGAAGGGACACAGACACAAGAGGTCACAATTGGAAGTTGAAGACTCAGATGAATCAAAGAGATGTTAGGAAGTATTTCTTCAGTCATAGAGTAGTCAGGCCGTGGAATAGCTTAGAAAGTGACGTAGTGGAGGCGGGAACCATACATAGTTTTAAGGCGAGGTATGATAGAGCTCATGGGGCAGGGGGAGAGAGGACCTAGTAGCAATCAGCGAAGAGGCGGGGCCAGGAGCTGTGACTCGACCCCTGCAACCACAAATAGGTGAGTACTACTTGTCTAACACTACTTGTCTGCTTGTCTAACACTACTTGTCTAGCACTACTCAAATTTTTACTTCTTACCCATAATAAATATGGATACACAGATGACATGTAATAATGTATTAACTTGGGTTATCTTAAGCACTTAAAAGAACTCCTGCAAACTTTTATTTTTAATTATATAGTAATTTTTATTATATTTAGTTTTAACTTGATTTAATTTTTTTTTTAATTAAATAAAATTATGTATGTAACGTATGTATGTAATTATGTAATGTATGTGTGTATGTAGGTATGTAATTATGTAATGTATGTATGTAATATGTATGTAATGTATGTATGTATTCATATATGTATGTAATGTTTGTAATGTATGTATGTATATACATATGTATTTTTTTTTTTTTCAACAAGTCGGCCGTCTCCCATCGAGGCAGGGTGACTCCAAAAAGAAAGAAAATCCCCAAAAAGAAAATACTTTCATCATCATTCAACACTTTCACCGCACTCGCACATTATCACTGTTTTTGCAGAGGTGCTCAGAATACAACAGTTTAGAAGCATACACATATAAAGATACACAACATATCCCTCCAAACTGCCAATATCCCAAACCCCTCCTTTAAAGTGCAGGCATTGTACTTCCCATTTCCAGGACTCAAGTCCGACTATATGAAAATAACCGGTTTCCCTGAATCCCTTCACCAAATATTACCCTGCTCACACTCCAACAGATCGTCAGGTCCCAAGTACCATTCGTCTCCATTCACTCCTATCTAAAACGCTCACGCACGCTTGCTGGAGGTCCAAGCCCCTTGCCCACAAAACCTCCTTTACCCCCTCTCTCCAACCCTTTCGAGGACGACCCCTACCCCGCCTTCCTTCCCCTATAGATTTATATGCTTTCCATGTCATTCTACTTTGATCCATTCTCTCTAAATGACCAAACCACCTCAACAACCCCTCTTCTGCCCTCTGACTAATACTTTTATTAACTCCACACCTTTTCCTAATTTCCACACTCCAAATTTTCTGCATAATATTTACACCACACATTGCCCTTAAACAGGACATCTCCACTGCCTCCAACCGTCTCCTCGCTGCTGCATTTGCAACCCAAGCTTCACACCCATATAAGAGTGTTGGTACTACTATACTTTCATACATTCCCTTCTTTGCCTCCATAGATAACGTTTTTTGACTCCACATATACCTCAACGCACCACTCACCTTTTTTCCCTCATCAATTCTATGATTAACCTCATCCTTCATAAATCCATCTGCCGACACGTCAACTCCCAAGTATCTGAAAACATTCACTTCTTCCATACTCCTCCTCCCCAATTTGATATCAAATTTTTCTTTATCTAAATCATTTGACACCCTCATCACCTTACTCTTTTCTATGTTCACTTTCAACTTTCTACCTTTACACACATTCCCAAACTCATCCACTAACCTTTGCAATTTTTCTTTAGAATCTCCCATAAGCACAGTATCATCAGCAAAAAGTAACTGTGTCAATTCCCATTTTGAATTTGATTCCCCAAAATTTAATCCCACCCCTCTCCCGAACACCCTAGCATTTACTTCCTTTACAACCCCATCTATAAATATATTAAACAACCATGGTGACATTACACATCCCTGTCTAAGACCTACTTTTACCGGGAAGTAGTCTCCCTCCCTTCTACACACCCTAACCTGAGCCTCACTATCCTCATATATGAATATATTGTTGCAGTTTTATAACTGCAGTCTAAGCAAGCCTCTGGCAAGACAGTGATGGAGTGAATGATGATGAAAGTTTTTCTTTTTTGGGCCACCCTGCCTTGGTGGAAAACGGCTGATGTGTTAATAAAATAAAATGTATGTAATATGTAATGCATGAATTTTTTTTAACACAATGGCCATCTCCCACCGAAGTAGGGTGACCTGGAAAGGAAATGCTTTCACCATCATTTACACTATAGCTGTCTTGCCAGAGGCATGCAGATATGACAGTTTAGATGTCACTCCTAATAGCAAATATCCCAAACCCCTCCTTAAACCTCCAGGACTCAAGTCTGGTTAACCGGTTTCCCTGAATCCCCTAACAAACTATTACCTTGCTTTTTCAGTCTTGTTACAGAAGAACTAGAGAATAAGCAGTATATATAGTACAAGAGGTCAGGTGAACGTAAGTTGAAATTGGGGTAACATCTGTTGGACTTTAAGTCTTGAGAGTTTGGATAGTTTAGGTTGCACCCAGTGGAGTCAGTATTGGTCTGGTATCTGTGGACTGGAATCTGCCTAACCAGGTATACTTTGGGCAGGTCACATGGTTAATAGTGAATGTATTATTTTTATGGGACTCCTTGCCTTGGTTGGAAATGGTAACAAGTTCTTTAAAAATGCTAGTTTTGTGCTATTCAGTGCTGTACTGCTAATAGAAGGTGATCATGTTATCTGATTTGTTTAATTTTTTTTTGCAGGGTTCAGATGATCAAACATTTTCTCAAAGATGATCCAGATAATCCAGGGTTATCTAAACCTAATCAAGTGAAAGGTCTGTATTAATTAGCCTTTATGCACCAATGTTCCTAATATCTCTACTCCTCTCATATTTTTAAATATATTTATTAGTTTTTTGGTATACATATACCTACTTTCTGTCATTAATGGTTGTGGGGAAACCATGCTTACAAGATTTTGACTCTGACACACATATGGGCAAAACCTTGTACCCTACTGTAAAAACTGCCAAGCTGAACTATCAGTTCAACATATCCTGATGAACTGTCCTGTCTCAGGATGCAAAATTTCGATATTGGCTAGACTACAATGTGTATGTGCTCACTGTTCAATTCGAACCAACTACGATATATATGTCTAGTATTAACCCTTAAACTGTCCAAACGTAGATCTACGTTTTTTCAACATTTGAAAGTATGTAAAAAAAGTAGATCTTTTCTTTTTTTACATTTGAAAAAGTGTTTCTGGAGAGTTTATCTGGAGAGAGTTCCGGGGGTCAACGCCCCCGCGGCCCGGTCTGTGACCAGGCCTCCTTAGGTCAGTGTCCCAGGATGCGACCCACACCAGTCGACTAACACCCAGGTACCCATTTTACTGATGGGGAACATAGACAACAGGTGGAAAGAAACACGTCCAATGTTTCTACTCTGGCTGGGAATCGAACCCAGGCCCTCGCCGTGTGAAGCGAGAGCGTTTTTTTTTTTTTGTTATATTTGAAAATATGTAAAAAAAAAACATAGATCTACTTTTGGAGCACTACGCATGTGAACGTAGATCTGCTTGGACAGTTTAAGGGTTAAGTAGTCTGTAAATCATTAGGTTTAGTCTGCCCGAAATGCCTCGGCATGACAGTGGCTTTCTTTACTCTTGTAAATCAATATTGAAATTACACATTGTAAACTATGCATGGTAATAGACTCCTTATTACATGTCAGTTACACATTGTAAACTTTGAAAAGTAATAAAAATTTGAATTTGAATTTGATCTTGTTGCTGTGGTCCCACCATCAGTATAGACTTGGTCTTTAGCTTTTAATAGAAATTAACCTATTGCACCAACTCTGACCTTAATTATGCACCCACACTGACCCCCAACTCCACTACTTCCTTATCCTCACACATTACACCACAGTGCTAAACCCATATGAGTTTAGCAGTTATACTTTACTAATGCAGTACAATCATAACATCATAACACTTTAAGAACCACAATTTTTTTTAACACTGGCTGTATCCCACTGAGGTAGGGTAACCTAACAAAGAAAAAACACTTTCACTGTCACTCATTCAATCACTGTCTTGCCAGAAGGGCACCAATATCACAGTGCAGATGACCCTTCCATTCTGCAACCTCTCCACTCCTCCTCCAGAGTGCAGGCATTGTTTCTCCCACCTCCAGGATTCAAGTCCAGCATAGTACATAATTGGTTAATTTCTGTATACATATATTTCATGTTAGAAAATGATTTTGTTTTAATTATATCATAAAAATCTCTACTATGCTAATTATTGATTAACGATATTTCAGACCTTTCACGTGCTTTATATGAACTTCTTTCGGCTATCTTGAAGGGTCATCTTCGAAGAGACTTTGCACGGCCCCTTCTTACTGATATGATTGTAAGTTTGCATAAATAATTATCTATTTTGCAGAATTTATCTTGATGTATAATTTTGTTCTCCATGGGGAAGTGGAACAGCATTCTTCCTCCGTAAGCCATGCGCGATGTAAGAGGCGACTAAAATGCCGGGAGCAAGGGGCTAGTAACCCTTTCTCCTGTATACATTACTAAAGTTAAAAAGAGAAACTTTATTTTTTTCTTTTGGGCCACCCTGCTTCAGTGGGATATGGCTGGTGCATTGAAAGAAGAAAATATAATTTTGTGTATTGGTATTTGATAAGTAATTCCTACTTATTTAATGATGAACTTCCTCATAAAAAAAGCATTGCTTTACAGTGTTGTCATCCATTGTTGTAAGAGTCAACAGTCTTTGTGAATCTATTCGTTATCATTTACTCCAATATATTACTGAGTCTTATGCTTTATGTATATGCAGTACTAGTGTCCAACCTGTCCTCCTAATAGATTTTTTCTGTATGGCTATAAACTGATTTCTCCATGTCTCTTATTTTAGGGTAGGTTATATTGACATAAATTACCCAGATAAACAGTTGTAACATTATATATATTTAAGAATACCTTACTGAGAGGATTAGTGTTGTGTAGTTGTGACAGCCCAGTATAAATTTCTAATGCAGCTAAATATCAGCATTGAAGACTTGAAGTAAGTCAGAAGAAGCACTCGAAAGTTATTGCATGGGTACTAATATCCCAATGTCTTTGCTCTCTACAGTAATAATTAACAGTAGTTTTTTGCATTCTTTTTATTTGAGTTAGTAAACCTTTCTATGTAATTTTTGATCTGTGTATGTCAAATGTTGACCTAAACTTTACCTCCATGTTTTTTAGAATTGGCATCCTGACATTGCCTCCCAACTAGTGGAAGTGTCAACATTGCTAGACCTGGAGACCTCCACAATTGATCGTCTCAATAAAAATCGTGACCAGTTCATAGCACTGCTGAAATCCCTGGATGCAGACAAACTGATGAAAGAAAGATTAGAAATTGAAACTTTAGGAGAAGCAGGCATTGTTAAGAATAAAAAGAATTTTCACACAAAGCAGATTAAAGTGAAGACCAAATTATTGTGAGTATTGACATGCATCTCTTTGAAGTATTTATATTTTATATACTTCTAATGAATGCATATTGCTGTTTTTCTTTGTTATAAATGTTAAAACATTAGAGGAATATTAAAGTCAGTCATTAGGGGTATGCTTCATGCTATCAATTTACCATGAACATTTTTGATGATATCTTAATATGTGGGTTATGGTATTTTATTGAAAAACATTTCATCCACCAGGGATTTTATCACTTCATACAGTGACAAAAAAAATATTGAGGTCATATAGTGGCAGAGGACAGGTCCATGAGGTGTTGGGTGAATTCGACATGGTGTGCTGCCAGGTGGTAAGGTCTTGGACGTTGGCAGTGTTGGTTATAGGTAGGACCAACTTTGCTAAAATCTAGACAGTGAATAATTGTGGCTCCAAACACTGTGTTTTATCACTACCAACACCATTTCACAAAACACTGCATCATTTACAGTCTCTAAGGTGTTGAAAAGGTTGATCCAACCCAAAACTGATACTGTCATCACCTGAGACCTTGCTTCCTTGCCGAAGACTTGGCCTCTTTGCCGAAGACCTCATCCCCTTGCATAAGACCTTGCCCCCTTGATAAAGACCATGTTCCTTTGCCAAAGACCTCGTCCCCTTGCTGAAGACCTCATCCTCTTGCTGAAAACCTCGCTTCCCTTGCTGAATACCTCGCCTCCCTTGCTGAATACCTCGCCTCCCTTGCTGAATACTTTGCCTCCTTGCTGAATACTTCGCCTCCTTGCTGAATACTGTATTTCGCCTCCTTGCTGAATATTTCGCCTCCTTGCTGAATACTTCGTCTCCTTGCTGAATACTTCGCCTCCTTGCTGAAGACCTCATCTCCTGGCCAAAGGCCTACTTTTCCTTGCTGAAGACCTTACCCCCTTGCAGAAGCCCTCGCCTCCCTTGCCGAATATCTCACCTCCATTGCTGAATACCTCACCTCTCTTGCTGAATACCTCGCCCACATGCCACAAACCCTGCTGAATTCACTATACCTGACAGTCCTCTCCTCAGTCACTATATAATCTTGTATTTTTTCTGCATATGAACTGGTAATGTTCCTAATGGAAAAACCTTAATTTGCATATTGTGTCATTATCATCTCACTGTTGGTATATATTACCATGACATTTTTATAAATGCAGTTTAGTATTGAAACACATTTTTGTTGAAACAGTACAGAGCTATGCTCTCAGCATCCTGTTCATTATTTATTTTCATACTTTTAAATACATAGCCATAGGCTGTAGCAATGGTACCTCTTGTAACTCATTCCACTGTTCTACCACTGTTAAGAACTTTATGGTATGGTTTTGGCATTTCTTCTTCCTCAGTTTAGAACTGTGGTCTCTTGTTCTTCCAATATAATTTTGTAGGTTATTTATCATATTTTCCCTTCCATCAGTCAGTGAGGGCATAGCTAATACTTTCAACCTTTCTTCATAACTCCTACAATTTCTTAGCTCTAGGAACCTTATACCCATATTTTTCTAGTAACTGTTTATTCATCGGTGGCCTGGTGGCTAAAGCTCCCGCTTCACACACGGAGGGCCCGGGTTCGATTTCTGGCGGGTGGAAACATTTCGACACGTTTCCTTACACCTGTTGTTCTGTTCACCTAGCAGTAAATAGGTACCTGGGTCGCCGGGTCACCATCTGGAGAAGACCCGGGCTGGAAGTACTGGCAAATCTCTGATGAATGAAATGGTAGCTGGGTGTTAGTCGACTGGTGTGGGTCGCATCCGGGGGGACAAGATTGAGAACCCCAATGGAAATAAGTTAAACAGTCCTCGATGACGCACTGACTTTCTTGGGTTATCCTGGGTGGCTAACCCTCCGGGGTTAAAAATCCGAACGAAATCTTATCTTATCTTTTCTTATCATTTAACTTAAGCATTTGTACAATTTCCAGCTCTCATCTATGTGATGTTATAAAGTTTAAATACAGTTCAGTTTAAGAGAATATTTCATCACCTAAATAATATATTCTCCAACTGAATAACTTTGAAAAACAATAAATATTTTTTGTCTTTGTTTCAGTTACAAACAACAAAAGTTTAATCTATTACGAGAAGAGACTGAAGGCTACGCCAAGCTTATAACTGAGCTCAATCAGGACATAACAGACAGAGTCACCCCAAGCTCCATCATACAAGTTATACGTAGCCTTATTGGTTAGTCTGTTTTTTTAATTTGCTTTTTGGCAGAAACTTTTTTAAAACTTTCCATTGTTTTTATGTGGCAAAATCTGTCTCTTTGCAATATTATTTTCAGGTCAGATTACTTTATCAGCACACTTCTAATAGGAGATACGTATTAATAAGTAGACATAAAATAGACTTCTTGCATAAAAATTAATGTTGATTTCTTTTAATATCTTTTGTATTTGCTTGCAAATGTTAAGTCAATTCTAGGTATCTTATTATATCTCTTCATTTCAGGTGACAAAAAAAATCTAAGGAATGGTAGATTTAATGTCAGATTGGAGGGAGGGGATATAGGTTAAGTAGACGTATTTGATATTTGGGAGAGGACGTATAGCTGATGCTTCTATGAAAAACGAGGTGAACTATAGAGTAGATGAGTGGAAAAAGGTGGGTGGTGTGTTGAAACATCTGTGTAAAGAAAGACATTTACTACAGAGGCAAAAAAAGGGAAATGTACCAACATTTTTATATGGATGTGAGGCATGAGTTTTAAATGATGCAGTGAGGAGTAGGATAGAAGCAGTGGAGATGTCATATTTGAGAGCAGTGTTTTGTGAAAATCATTTAGAAGACTGAAGGTCTGGTGAAGGATTGTTCAGTTTTTTATTTACACAAGGGTTTTTACAGTGTTAGATTTGGGCATGTAGAGAGAATGGAAAGGGATAGGATGACAAACAGGGTACTTAAATCTGGGGCCCCCTAGTAGGGGTAGGGGTTGTCTCGGGAACAGATGGAGGGAGGGGTCAAAAAAAGCTATCGAGTTAGGGGCTTGAGCATCTAGCAGGCTTGTGTGAATATCTTAGATAGGAGTGAATGGAAACAAGCAGTGTTTTTAGAGATGTGCTGTTGGAGTGTAAGGGAAGTTGCAATCAGAAGATTATCTGAATTATGATATTGGCACACTTCTGGAAAGACAGCAATTGAAAGAATGATGGTAAATGTGATTTCTTCTTTGTGTCAGAATGGAGGTTGAATATGAAAGAATCAGTTGTAAACAAAAAAAAAAATGTATATATATAGTATATAATTTTATAAAATACAGTTTGGCAGTTTGGAGGGATATGTTGTGTATCTTTATACGTATATGCTTCTAAACTGTTGTATTCTGAGCACCTCTGCAAAAACAGTGATAATGTGTGAGTGTGGTGAAAGTGTTGAATGATGATGAAAGTATTTTCTTTTTTTGGGGATTTTCTTTCTTTTTTGGGGTCACCCTGCCTCGGTGGGAGACGGCCGACTTGTTAAAAAAAAAAAAAAAAAAAAAAAAAAAACTTTATTCCTAGGCTGAAAATGTTTTTGGTTTTATGGATTTTTTGTTTTAAATTTTTTGGCTTAACTATGCCTTAATGTACAGTACACTACTTGCTGAAATGTCATTGTTTGATAGTAAAAAAAAGATACAAGATTAAGTTTTGCTGTCAGTGAATTGTGTTAAAATGTGATGTCTTAGCATTATAAATCACATGCAAAAGATAATATGTGCAGCCATAATTTTTTATAATTTCACATTTTGGAAGTAATATTCAGTTAAAATCTGTCATCTTTAATTTATCCATACATTGTAAGTTCTGTAATTAATATTTTGGTATATAATATAGATTTGTGTTCTCTGTATTTGTGTTTTCAGGTGGTTTCAATTTGGATCCAAATAGAGTGCTGGATCTTATTTTGGAATCGTTAGAATGCCGTCCAGAGCAGCACCAATTCTATACCAAATTGTTGAACCAATATCCCTGTGAGTCAGCTACCATTAGTGAACTTCTTGGATTCAAGCTCAACAACTACTTAAACAGTGGAAAAGATACGAAGGGAATCTATACAACAATGGCCCTACTTATACAGGCTGATATTCTTAAAATTTCAGATATATATATATGGGTAAGTATGGCTTTTTGGACCAAGTTTTGGACCAGCCATTGGTTGATAAGTGTGTATTTGCTGCCTTGTATATGTAGGGGTTGAGCCTCATTTCTTGGCCTAGCTTCTTAAGCTGTAAGTGATAGCTATAGTTTATATCCAGCCTCTTGGGTATATCCGTTTCTGTTTCTGAATCCATGAATAGAGCTTTTGTCTTTACACATCTTATAGCACTTACATTACCTTTCTCCAAAAAAAGTGTTTTCTAGTATCTTTGTTCTTCACTTGGATAAGAATAAATTTTATTAGAATAGGAATTTCTGTAAAGAAAAAGTGCTTTTCAGCATAAACGGCAACAAGAATTGTAGAGAGTTGGTACAAAAGGTGCAGTAACAAGAACTGTTAGGTAGGCTTGCAGAGTCTCTCCCAAGCCTAGCTTAGACAGTAGTCTACACACTAGGTTTTATGTGGTTAGCATGAGTCTGTATGAGTTTAATTATGGTCTCATAATGGCTTGGTTTTATTTCTACGTTATTATTCAACTTTAATGTGGTCATCAGAGGGTAGGAAGATTAGTCTTGGAGTGTGAATGAGAGAAGTCTGATGTGCTCATAATTTAATGATTTATATTTGTATGATGCTACATAATTTGAAATACACTGTAGTAAAAATCTATTGCTTATATGCTTGATTCAGGAAATTTGTTAATTAAATGACTTATTTTGATCATGTTAACATTCACCCTGCAATCTTGATAGGGTGTTGGTAAATAATAAATAAACTGTTTTCACAGAATTGATATTTTCTCCTAATTTTGTGTGCACTTATCTGTGCACAATTTTAATATTATGTCTTCAAGATATGAGTCTTGGAGGTGGGAAGTACAATGCCTACACTTTAAAGGAGGGGTTTGGGATATTTGCTGTTTAGAATGTCATCTAAACTGTCATATCTGCATGCCTCTGCAATAACATTGATAGTGTGAGTAATGGTAAAAGTGTTTCTTTTTTTTCTGGGGGTCACCCTGCCTCAATGGGAGATGGCCAGTGTGTTTAAAAAAAAAAAATTGCAAGATTTTGTTAATGATGTATGGAAGTAGGTATTTTTTTTTTTTTTTTTTTTTTTTTTTTTTTCAACAAGTCGGCCGTCTCCCACCGAGGCAGGGTGACCCAAAAAAGAAAGAAAATCCCCAAAAAGAAAATACTTTCATCATCATTCAACACTTTCACCACACTCGCACATTATCACTGTTTTTGCAGAGGTGCTCAGAATACAACAGTCTAGAAGCATAAACATATAAAGATACACAACATATCCCTCCAAACTGCCAATATCCCAAACCCCTCCTTTAAAGTGCAGGCATTGTACTTCCCATTTCCAGGACTCAAGTCCGACTATATGAAAATAACCGGTTTCCCTGAATCCCTTCACTAAATATTACCCTGCTCACACTCCAACAGATCGTCAGGTCCCAAGTACCATTCGTCTCCATTCACTCCTATCTAACACGCTCACGCACGCTTGCTGGAAGTCCAAGCCCCTTACCCACAAAACCTCCTTTACCCCCTCTCTCCAACCCTTTCGAGGACGACCCCTACCCCGCCTTCCTTCCCCTATAGATTTATATGCTTTCCATGTCATTCTACTGTGATCCATTCTCTCTAAATGACCAAACCACTCAACAACCCCTCTTCTGCCCTCTGACTAATACTTTTATTAACCCCACACCTTCTCCTAATTTCCACACTCCGAATTTTCTGCATAATATTTACACCACACATTGCCCTTAAACAGGACATCTCCGCTGCCTCCAACCGTTCTCCTCGCTGCTGCATTTACCACCCAAGCTTCACACCCATATAAGAGTGTTGGTACTACTATACTTTCATACATTCCCTTCTTTGCCTCCATAGATAACGTTTTTTGACTCCACATATACCTCAACGCACCACTCACCTTTTTTCCCTCATCAATTCTATGATTAACCTCATCCTTCATAAATCCATCCGCCGACACGTCAACTCCCAAGTATCTGAAAACATTCACTTCTTCCATACTCCTCCTCCCCAATTTGATATCCAATTTTTCTTTATCTAAATCATTTGACACCCTCATCACCTTACTCTTTTCTATGTTCACTTTCAACTTTCTACCTTTACACACATTCCCAAACTCATCCACTAACCTTTGCAATTTTTCTTTAGAATCTCCCATAAGCACAGTATCATCAGCAAAAAGTAACTGTGTCAATTCCCATTTTGAATTTGATTCCCCATAATTTAATCCCACCCTCTCCCAAACACCCTAGCAATTACTTCCTTTACAACCCCATCTATAAATATATTAAACAACCATGGTGACATTACACATCCCTGTCTAAGACCTACTTTTACCGGGAAGTAGTCTCCCTCTCTTCTACACACCCTAACCTGAGCCTCACTATCCTCATAAAAACTCTTTACAGCATTTAATAACTTACCACCTATTCCATATACTTGCAACATCTGCCACATTGCTCCTCTATCCACTCTATCATATGCCTTTTCTAAATCATAAATGCAATAAAAACTTCCCTATCTTTATCTAAATACTGTTCACATATATGCTTCAATGTAAACACCTGATCTACACATCCCCTACCCACTCTAAAACCTCCTTGCTCATCCGCAATCCTACATTCTGTCTTACCTCTAATTCTTTCAATTATAACCCTACCGTACACTTTTCCTGGTATACTCAGTAAGCTTATTCCTCTATAATTTTTACAGTCTCTTTTGTCCCTTTCCCTTTATATAAAGGGACTATACATGCTCTCTGCCAATCCCTAGGTACCTTCCCTCTTTCATACATTTATTAAACAAAAGTACCAACCACTCCAACACTATATCCCCCCCTGCTTTTAACATTTCTGTCATGATCCCATCAGTTCCAGCTGCTTTACCCCCTTTCATTTTACGTAATGCCTCACGTACCTCCCCACACTTACATTCTGCTCTTCTTCACTCCTAAAAGATGGTATACCTCCCTGACCAGTGCATGAAATTACTGCCTCTGTTTCTTCCTTAACATTTAAAAGTTCCTCAAAATATTCTCGCCATCTACCCAATACCTCCATCTCCCCATCTACTAACTCCCCTACTCTGTTTTTAACTGACAAATCCATATTTTCCCTAGGCTTTCTTAACTTGTTTAACTCACTCCAAAATTTTTTCTTATTTTCATTAAAATTTCTTGACAGTGCCTCTCCCACTCTATCATCTGCTCTCCTTTTGCACTCTCTCACCACTCTCTTTACCTTTCTTTTACTCTCCATATACTCTGCTCTTCTTATAACACTTCTGCTTTGTAAAAACCTCTCATAAGCTACCTTTTTCTCTTTTATCACACCCTTTACTTCATCATTCCACCAATCACTCCTCTTTCCTCCTGCCCCCACCCTCCTATAACCACAAACTTCTGCCCACATTCTAATACTGCATTTTTAAAACTATTCCAACCTCTTCAACCCCCCCACTACTCATCTTTGCACTAGCCCACCTTTCTGCCAATAGTCGCTTATATCTCACCCGAACTTCCTCCTCCCTTAGTTTATACACTTTCACCTCCCTCTTACTTGTTGTTGCCACCTTCCTCTTTTCCCATCTACCTCTTACTCTAACTGTAGCTACAACTAAATAATGATCCGATATATCAGTTGCCCCTCTATAAACATGTACATCCTGGAGCCTACCCATCAACCTTTTATCCACCAATACATAATCTAATAAACTACTTTCATTACGTGCTACATCATACCTTGTATATTTATTTATCCTCTTTTTCATAAAATATGTATTACTTATTACCAAATTTCTTTCTACACATAGCTCAATTAAAGGCTCCCCATTTACATTTACCCCTGGCACCCCAAATTTACCTACTACTCCCTCCATAACATTTTTACCCACTTTAGCATTAAAATCCCCAACCACCATTACTCTCACACTTGATTCAAAACTCCCCACGCATTCACTCAACATATTTCCCCTTCTTATTTCTCTCTCTCTTTATTGGTTATAGGCTAAGGGTGCACTTGAGATATTTTTTTTTTTAACACGTTAGCTGTTTCCCACCGAGGCAAGGTGACCCAAAAAGAAAGAAAAACCCAAAAAGAATGAAATAACTTTCATCATCATTCAACACTTTCACCATCACTCGCATTATCACTGTCTTTACAGAGGTGCTTAGATATGACAACTGAGATAGCCCTCCAAACTGCCAATATCCTAAACCCCTCCTTTAAAGTACAGGCATTGTACTTCCCATTTCCAGGACTCAAGCCTGGCTACCCAGTTTCCCTGAATCCCTTCACAAAATATTACTCTGCTCATACTCCAACAGTTCGTCAGGTCCCATAATCCTTTTGTCTCCATTCACTCCTATCTAACACGCTTGCTGGAAGTTCAAGCCCCTTGCCCACAAAACCTCCTTTACCCCCTCCCTCCAACATCTTCGGGGACGGCCCCTACCCCGCCTTCCTTCCCCAATAGATTTATTCGCTCTCCAAGTCATTCTATTTTGTTCCATTCTTTCTAAATGACCAAACCACCTCAACAGCCCCTCTTCAGTCCTCTGGCTAAAACTTTTAGTAACTCCACACCACCTCCTAATTTCCACACTACAAATTCTCTGCATAATATATTTACACCACACATTGCCCTTAGACACGACATCTCTACTGTCTCCAGCCGCCTCCTCACTGCAGCATTTACAACCCAAGCTTCACACCCATATAAGCGTGTTGGTACCTCTATACTCTTGTACATTTCTTTGTTTGCCTCCATGGATAACGTTCTTTGTCTCCACAGGTATCTCAATGCACCACTCACCTTTTTTTCTTCATTAGTTCTGTGGTTTACCTCATCCTTCATAAATCCATCCGCTGACAAGTCAACTCCCAAAGTATCTGAAAAAATTCACTTCTTCCATACTCCCTCCCTCCAATGTGATATCCAATTTTTCTTTATCTAAATTGTTTGATATCCCTCATCACCTTACTCTTATCTATATATTCACTTTCATCTTTCTACCTTTACACACACTCACAAACTTGTCCACTAACCTTTCAGCTTTTCTTTAGAAGCTCCCAAAAGCACAGTATCATCAGCACTTGAGATATATATGTAAGATATACAGTAAACAAAGTTATATGCATTTCTCTTATTTCTTTGTAAATTTAACATTTTCTTTTCCAGCTAACTCCTGAGGACTCGTCCATGATTGAGGACTACCAGAAAGAGGAAAATGATGCAAAAGAAATAGCTTCCAAAGTCAATGTTGTTTCCACCAAAGACAAAGATAAAGAGAAAGACAAGGAAAAAGAAAGAGAAGAGGAAGAAAAAGAGAAAGATGATCAAAGAAATCATGAAAAATATAACTCAAACCAAAAAATTCAGTTGTGTGTTGCTCTGTTAAAGGTGGGTAGTATTAGAAAGATTAATGGAATTACTGTACATACTTCGGGATATTAGCAGTTTGGAGGGATATGTTGTGTATCTTTATACGTATATGCTTCTAAACTGTTGTGTTCTGAGCACCTCTGCAAAAACAGTGATTATGTGTGAGTGAGATGGAAGTGTTGAATGATGATGAAAGTATTTTCTTTTTGGTGATTTTCTTTCTTTTTGGGTCACCCTGCCTCGGCGGGAGACGGCCGACTTGTTAAAAAAAAAAAAAAAAAAACTTAGGGCTGATGATCTTTTCAAGTGGACTGATTTTGTGGGAGTATTCAGGGATTTTGTAGGTAGTAGGTTGGTAGACAGCAACCGCCCAGGGAGGTACTACCGTCCTGCCAAGTGAGTGTAAAGCAAAAGTCTGTAATTGTTTTACATGATGGTGGGAGTGCTGGTGTTTTTTTCTGTCTCATAAACATGCAAGGTTTCAGGTACGTCTTGCTACTTCTGCTTACACTTAGGTCACACAACACATACAAGTACAAGCATATATATACACACCCCTCTGGGTTTTCTTCTATTTTCTTACTAGTTCTTGTTCTTGTTTATTTCCTCTTATTTCCATGGGGAAGTGGAACAGAATTCTTCCTCCGTAAGCTATGCATGTTGTAAGAGGCGACTAAAATGCCAGGAGCAAGGGGCTAGTAACCCCTTCTCCTGTATATATTACTAAATGTGAAAGGAGAAACTTTCGTTTTTCCTTTTGGGCCACCCCGCCTCGGTGGGATACGGCCGGTGTGTTGAAAGAAAGAAAGATTCAGGGATTTTATTTTTTGTAAGGACATCCATAATACACCTAGGTAGCAGGTTGGTAGACAGCAACCGCCCAGGGAGGTACTACCGTCCTACCAAGTGAGTGTAAAACGAAAGCCTGTAATTGTTTTACTTGATGGTAGGTGTTAAAAAACTCGTCTTCTTAACCTTCTCCAATGGTATGGTAGTGTGTTAAGGTAGCATTCTTTTTGAACATATGGCCTGTTTACGGTTTTGCAACAATAACTTAAGAACTCAGGATTACGAAACAAATAACTAAAACTTAGAATCTTTACTAGTAGAGTTTTAGCTTAATGTATGATATGTTATGATTAACATAAAATAAGGAGTTTAACTCTTACATTTCTCTTGGTACGTACTAGTACATTGATATGAATAAATGAACCTTTTGAGGTTGAGCTTTGTACTAAAATCACCAATAATATGCACCTATAATGGTTATTAAGACATAACCACAAAGTAACTTATAATGGTTATAAAGACTTATCTGAACTATCAATTCAGAGTATACAAGAACTCGTAAGTGACGGACTTAGTCTCATTTCCATCTAACATGACTAAGAATAGCTTAGACCACAAATTAACATAAAGGCCGACAAGGCTTATTCAGTCACCTGAAAGTTTAATTTACCAGAGTATAAATAACTCGAAAGTGACAAGCTTAAGAAAGGAAGTCAGTCATGAGAGAATAACGACCACAAGAGAGAACTTGACACGTCTCCTATGAGAGGTCAATGAGTGAGGTACGCTCCCTTGGCTATGCAAGCCCGGAGTAGAAGTGAGAGTGCTAGTCAGAGTGAGTGTGAAGGACATACTCTCAGCTAGTGCTGTAAAACTACTCAGAGCAAGGGTTGTGAACCTTCTCTGAGCAGGTGCTGTAAACCTACTCAGTAAGAGTAGTGAACCTATTCAGAGCAAGGGCTGAGAACCTACTCAGTAAGAGTAGTGAACCTCTCTGAGTGAGGGTGGTGAACCTACTCAGTAAGAGTAGTGAACCTACTCAGAGCAAGGGCTGAGAACCTACTCAGTAAGAGTAGTGAACCTCTCTGAGTGAGGGCGGTGAACCTACTCAGTAAGAGTAGTGAACCTACTCAGAGCAAGGGCTGAGAACCTACTCAGTAAGAATAGTGAACCTCTCTGAGTGAGGGCGGTGAACCTACTCAGTAAGAGTAGTGAACCTACTCAGAGCAAGGGCTGAGAACCTACTCAGTATGAGTAGTGAACCTCTCTGAGTGAGGGCGGTGAACCTACTGCCGGTACCACTGAGTGGTAGGTCGACGTCACATTGGTCACGTGACTGAGGGAGACTTAAGTACCTGAAGTGCTAACCGGCACTTACACTAGTGGTTTCCCACTACATGACAATATTAAGAACTGCTAACAAAACATAATATAATACAATATTAGCATTAGCATATATATTATAAAATAAAGAGCACATCCTTGTATAAAATATAACGGGTGTGGCCATACTCGTAACAGTAGGATTGCTGGTGTCCTTTTTTCTGTCTCATAAACATGCAAGATTTCAGGTACGTCTTGCTACTTCTACTTACACTTAGGTCACACTACATATACATGTACAAGCATATATATACACACCCCTTTGAGTTTTCTTCTATTTTCTTTCTATTTTTTTTTTTTTTTTTCAACAAGTCGGCCGTCTCCCACCGAGGCAGGGTGACCCAAAAAAGAAAGAAAATCCCCAAAAAGAAAATACTTTCATCATCATTCAACACTTTCACCACACTCGCACATTATCACTGTTTTTGCAGAGGTGCTCAGAATACAACAGTTTAGAAGCATACACATATAAAGATACACAACATATCCCTCCAAACTGCCAATATCTAGTTCTTGTTCTTGTTTATTTCCTCTTACCTCCATGGGGAAGTGAAACAGAATTCTTCCTCCGTAAGCCATGCGTGTTGTAAGAGGCGACTAAAATGCTGGGAGCAAGGGGCTAGTGACCCCTTTTCCTATATATACATGTAAAAGGAGAAACTTTCGTTTTTTCTTTTGGGCCACCCTACCTCGGTGGGATACGGCCGGTGTGTTGAAAGAAGAAACATGCAAGGTGTTGGGTATATCTTGCTACTTCTATTTGCACTTAGGTCACACTACACTTGCATGTACAAGCATATATATATACACACCCCTCTGGGTTTTCTTCTATTTTCTTATTAGTTCTTGTTTATTTCCTCTTATCTCCATAGGGAAGTGGAACGGAATTCTTCCTCCGTAAGCCATGCAGGTCAAGAGGAGACTAACATACCGGGTGCATGTATACTTTACTAAAGTTAAAAAGAGAAACTTTCATTTTTCTTTTTAGGTCAACCTGCCTCAGTGGAATATGGCCAGTTTGATGAAAAAAAAAAAATCTGTAATACAGTGAAACCTTGATACTCGAACAGCTCCCTACTCGAACAATTTGGTATTTAAACACTGTTCTGTAAAAAAATAGCTTGGTAGTTGACCATTTGCTTGGCACTTGACCAAACACAAAAAAAAAAATTGGTTGGGAAAAATTCGCTCAGTACTCGAACAGATTGGGACTTGAACAGCCTTCTGGAACTAATTAAGTTCGAGTACCAAGGTTCCACTGTAATTTTCTTTCAGTATGAAAGTGCATACTGGGTTTGACAGTGAGTAGAATAATTATAGAGGTGTCGTATGATCTGGTATATCCATTTACTGTGTAACTATTTGTGTATGCACCAGATAAACCTGGTGTATACACCATACTAGACTCTTGTATACACCAGATAGACCTGGCCCTGGGCTGTGCTGTGAGAGTAGGAAAACTAAAGCCTTTAAAGGTATACAGTAGACTGTCTATTGACACAGTCTATTAACACTTTTTCGATGTGGTTGAAAAATTGTGGCATATTTTCTCTGAGCACGTCTTATTTATATAACAGGAGTAAATTTAAGGAAAAATAGCTAAAAAAGCAGTACACATGAAGGCTAGTAACTGATAATTTCACTGTGACTACTTATTCCTTTGCCTTTAAGAGTCATTTATTTAACCGAGGTGCATTTATACAGATGTTGAATATGTTAGTGATTGATAAGAAATTGTTAAAGTACACTAATTAAATGAGAAAGTGAAGGGATGATCTTGTTGCACTGCAATGATGTTTTTGTTTGAAGTTCATAGTGTTTGTCACAGCATACACTATTTATATATAAATTGTTTATCACCATGCAACTCACAGGTCTAATTAACAGATGTAACTAAATTAGCTATTTCCTACATACATCTCAGGTCATGCATTGTTTTTATATCCTTTGCATTATTAGGGCTAAAATGTGAAGATACTGGAGGTAATGTTTATACAGCCTCTCCTCACTTAGTTATGTACTCGTTTACCGATGACTCAGACTTATGACGGGCTCTCTGACCAGTATACATAACTAAATAATGTATATTAGAGTTGATTTCCTCTACGTATTCTGTTTATTACAGTATACAGTATACTATTGTATAAACATTTAAAAATATACCAGAAATGTTATAAATGATGCAAAGGTGACATTAAAACAATATCAAAGATTGTTGACACAACCCCACTACCATTATAGTATGCTCCTCACTTAGTGACGAATTTGTTTACAGATGTGGTCTTAGGAACAGAACTCCGTCGTTAAGTTAGGAGAGGCTGTATACTGGGTTGACGGGTTCTGCGCCTGTCCATGACAGAGATTACCATCACTATTTATATACCCTCTGCTTCTCTTCATCTGCGTTATAATGTGCATACAGTATCTACTTTGTATACTACAGTTTGTGTTAATTGTTAAACTTACATTTTGTGATAAAGATATGAGAGTGTCGGCAATGTTTACATCTGATTGTTCCTCCTCCTCCTCTCTCCCACCCTCTGCTTCTTACTCTTATATTTATTATTAAAATGCAAGGGATATGAAAGTTTTTTAAGTTTTTATTCAAGTAAAGTTATTAATATTTACAGACCCTTGGGTTGTCTCAACCCTTAAATCCAATAATTATAACAGGACATAGTGATAACCTGAGAAGGATTGATTGTTTTTCACTTTTTTTTTAGGGGGGGGGGTATAGCATGCACTCATATTATCGTAATTGTGTTTGTGGTGGAGGCAGGTGATAGTTGTGCAAAAGCCTGTCACGTATTTGTACAGGTATTGTACAGAGTCACATCAACCCGTCTATATGCATTTCTGTATCAACAGGTAGTGACAGCTATAATGTAACAAATAGAAAAGGGGATTATTTTTGAATCTTGACTAATTACAAAGCTTTAAAAAAAATTGTTTGCCATTGTTTGGGGAGTTGGGGGTGGAGAAACCTAATGCTATTTTTTCTGCCATGTTAATTGATGGTCCATTGGTATTCCAAAAATTTTTAGCTCAAGATTTATCAGTGGATTAGAGCAGTGATTTTTGTTATCCATGTTTTGTTAGATACTTTAAGCCCATGGTTGCTGCATTATAGTTAATCAGGGCTCAACACTTAATTCCACATAATAGCAAGACTCTTCAGTACAATTTGTGAACCTCACCGATCACGTATAGTGAAAGTATGTATCGATCGTGTGTAATTATTACTAGAAATGATGCTTTGCATAATAACAAATTCACGTAACCTGAACCCACATAAAGTGAGGGAAACCTCAGTATTCAGAGTTCTGTGTAAGAACCATAAATAATTATTTTTTAATGTTTATCAAAACTGTGTATAGTATAACTTACAGGATTAGCAGTTTGTCTTACTGTGTATTGTGTTTTTCTTGTATGCCATCTAATGTCCTTATCTTTTGTTGCTGAAAAACAAACAGGTTGGTGCCTGGGAACACTTCATGGAAATTTCCAAGCGCTTTCCAGATTTTTACCTCGTGTCGAGTCCTCCTATTGGCCAAGCACTTTGCCAGTTGATACATGCTACAATTGAACCTATTTACAGAAAGTGAGCATAAAATTGTTAACATTTTGCTATACACGAATTCTGTTATCCACTGGGTATTGATTTACAAGTCTTTAATTATAAACCCTTGATTTAATGGCCTTTAACAAAGTTTAGAAATGAAAACCAAACTCCACTGGGTCATTTGTTTCTGAAAAGCAGTCTCTTTGTCTGTTGATTACAGACTTGTCATTTATTGTTGTAATCATGGCAAAACAGCTTCATTTCCAGTCATCACAATAACCATTATTGGACATTCACTTCCCTATTAACGCATTAAATTGAGGGTCAGCGTAGGAGAGAAGAAATATTTTCCTGTAAAAGTTGGCCTTGGGCAGGCATGTGTGACACCAACATGATTATTTGATGTCTGAAGATTGAGTTGTTAAAGAAGTGAGTGCTAGTGTGTTTGGGGAAGATGTGGTCTTAAAAGATAATGTAATGTGAGAGCAGTCACAGTTGCTATTTTATAATGACCCTTGGCATTTAGGACATTAAAGCCTGTGTAACAGGCTTTTTTCTTTTATTTAACACACAGGCTGTCTCCCACCAAGATAGGGTGAGCCAGAGAAGAAGAAACACACTCACCATCACTTACTTCATCATTGTCTTGCCAGAGGCAAGACAGTTTAGTAATTTAATTACTAAATTTAAAAAGAATAGGCTGCTTTAAGCCTGTTAATTAGGTGAAAAATTATCACAAAAGTTCTGTTTTGCATTTGTCTATTTCAAACAACTTGTTGGCTAACTATATCCCTCCAGTGTAAGTCAGGTTGGAAACAAGGAATGTGGGTGATGTGATTGTATTTAGCTATATGGGAGTAGATGTGCTAGCAGATGGTTCTTTGAAAGTTGACTTACATTACAGAATATATTAAGGAAAGTAGCATGTAGGCAAGAGCATGCTTATAAAAATATATTCTTGTCCTCACTCACCCGAGAGAAAATAATTTCATTAGCTTGTTGTTCATATTGTGATTTTTCTTTTTTTGAATAGGATACTCTCTTATTCACATACTTTCAGGAACATAATATTGAATGACTTTCCTTTAGCCAATTTATTGATAGTATTTCGAAAAGATTCTACTGCTGGTAAAGATTTTGTATTAAAAAAAAAAGGACAACCACCACCCTCAAACCAATTAATTTTCTTTTCATTTATTTTTATTGCTAATCATTAGGAGAAAGAGATGCATGGAAATCACAATTAATACAAGGGTAGCTATAATGTTTCACTATTTTATTACATTTATTGGCATAGTGATGATGCTCTGGTGTGCACTCGTGCCTGCATGTTGATCCATTCCCTAACATGCATATAACAGTTTAAATTTGCTTGTAAGACTCTTGAATCACTTTCAGTTCTGTAAGTTTATGTACTCTCAGGTAGTAGCAAGTCTGAATGTCATACATTAGTGTACTTCTTTCCAGGGTGTGTACTCTACCTAGCCGGTTGAAAGGGACTGTGGTTGAATTGCTCAATAACCCACTGGCTCCTCGTCCTTCATATAACTTTAATGATGTTTGTACAACAATATTTCCAATGCTGAGTGCTTTGGGGCCACACTTGTACATTGACCCTGGACTGATGTACAAGGTTCTTAGAGTTGCACGGGTGGCACTGAAACAGGTAAGAAGTTAATTTATTATTCATATCACTTTGATTGAAAGTACTGTATTCAGTAAATAACTCGTGAAAAATAGTTCATTTATAGATATAAGTCATAAAATGGGAAAAGTTTTTCATATTTTTTTTTCAAATTTGTTCACTTTACCTGTTATATTAGTTGGACTTGGGTCCTGGAAGTGGGAAGTACAGTGCTGTACTCTGAAGTATGGTTGGGGTTGTTGAAGTTTGGAAGGTTATCTGAACTGTTATGACAGCACACTTCTGGCAAGGCAGTGATTGAGTGAATGATGGTAAAAGTTTTTCATCTTTTGGTTGATGTGTTAAGATAAAATATGACATGCCAAAGAAATCTAATGCAAAATACAGAGTATTTAACTGTGGTAGACCCTAAATAAAAATTCCTTTGTGGGGCAAAATTTTGAAAATTTTTTTTCTTATAGATTGACAGAGCCTGTTTTTCTAACTGGAAGTATGAAAGTAAAACTAAAACTTATGGTGTGTTGAAGGTGACAAAAAATTCTCAGCATAAATATGCATGCAGACACGTATACATGTGTGTGAGTGCCAGGCAGTATGGTATGCATTTTATACAAATATCATTGCAACATAATGTAAACCACACAACCATTAATTTTTTTTAGCACCCGCTATTCCCACCAAGGCAGGGTGACCCAAAAAGAAAGAAAAAACTTTTATAATCATTCAACACTTTCACCATCACTCATACATAATCTTTGTCTTTGCAGAGGCACTCAGATATGACAGTTTAGATGTCCCTCCAAGTGGTTGGGCCACTTAACTTTTTATCCTTCATCCTTCTTTCACCCCCATATCTCTTTAACTCATTTCTATTTCTTCCCTATCATTCTTTCTTCCTCCTCTTTACCAGAGTACATGCTTTGGTAATGTTCTTAAGCTGTTGGAGTGTGAGCAGGGTAATATTTAGTGAAGGGATTCAGGGAAACCAGTTATTTTATATGGCCGGACTTGAGTCCTGGAAATGGGAAGTACAATGCCTGCACTCTAAAGGAGGGGTTTGGGATATTAGCAGTTTGGAGAGATATATTGTGTATTTTTATACGTATATGCTTCTAAACTGTTTTATCCTGGGCACCTCTGCAAAAACAGTGATTATGTGTGAGTGAGGTGAAAGTGTTGAATGATGAAAGTATTTTCTTTTTGGGGATTTTCTTTCTTTTTGGGTCACCCTGCCTCGGTGGGAGACGGCTGACTTGTTGAAAAAAAAAAAATCTTTGTTTCTTTTTAGGAGGTCACCCTGCCTCGGTGGGATATGGCCAGTTTGTTGAAAAAAAAAAAAAAGCTCTATGGAGAGTGAAGCTGTATGACCCTTGTTAGTTTAGCACTTTCTTTGATTATAATAATAATAATGATGATACTGAGAGTGAAATGTTACCACAATTTAAAGCTTGCTTTACACTTGTCCCTTGTCTTCATTACTGCAGGCAGTGTACCTTGTATCCAGTAAATCAGAGAACGTGAAGTGGATATCTGTACATTCTAGAAAACAGTTATTTAGTTTCCTGTTTAAATGTTGATAAAACAGTAATGGTTGTCTCTAACTTTAAGGTGAAGGTTGGTGCTGATGGAGTTCGTAACAATTTCTATTACGAGTTCTTGGATGTCTTGGATGAAGCTCTCTTACCGTCTCTATCCATGCTTGATGCTAATCCATGTCTTGCAGAAGAGATCTGGGACACCATCAAGATATACCCATACCAGCACAGGTATGATATGTACTTTTCACTGAATTATTTTCACAAACTTGCTTGTTATCTTTATCCTAGTTCTCCAGGTTATTTAACATTATTTTTTTTTTAATATTTTAGGTAATATAACTGTTTACTCTTTGTAAGTGAAGTAAGTAAATTTCAGTTACTTTAGCCAGAATTAACTATTCTGTATCAACCAGGTATACTGAAATGGTGATGCTATTCTTTAGTGCATTTTTCCTGATCAATAAAAGTAAATTAAATTTATTTAGTATAAGTGCAGTAGTGTGAATGATGGTGAAAGTGTTTCTTGTTTTGGGTTACCCTACCTTGTTAGGAGGCAGCCAGTGTGTTAAAAAAATAAGGTGCAGTAGTGTATAAGCAAAAAGTTTCTTCTGGGTATGTAATGCAGTATATCCATAGTTTTATATTTAATTAAATTGCAGATACAAGCTTTATGGCCGGTGGAAAAATGAGACGTGTAACCAGCATCCCATGCTTATAAAGTATCGTGCTAGACTTCTAAAGAAAGCAAAATTTATCATGATGCGTATCACGAAAGAAACCATTAAACCTGTGAGTCGGGGAATTGGGAAACTTACTCACAACAACCCTGGTCCAGTGTTTCATTATGTGAGTATTTACCAGTTTCAAACACTTAATTGGTCAGTTTGGAAGTATTCAAAGAGTTCTTTTCAAATAACTGTGTTTAGTTAATGTGATGCTTGTTTTATTTTCCAGCAAAAGTAAGCCTTAGACAGGGATGTGTGATGTGGTTGTAAAAGTTTGGGTGTTGGGGCTGGGTGTGCAATTAAATGATGAATCTGATATGAAGTGGAAGTTGCTGTAGTTTCTTTGCCAGTGACATGGTTCTTTTAGGAGCTTCTGAGGAGGAGTTGCAAAGGTAGGTTGGTGGATGAGTTTAGGAGAGTATATAAAAGTAGGAAATTAATAGTAAATACAAGGTGATGGGTGTAACAAAGTTTAGGCAGTGGAAAATTGGATATTTAAATATTTTGGAGTAGATATGTTGGCAGATGGATCTCAAAGAAAAGGTGAGTCATAGAATAGATGAACTGGACTAAGGTAAGTCAAGTGTTGAGGCATCTATGAAGACAAAAGGAATTTATCTTTGGGGGCAAAAAGAAGAATATACCAAGAGTATAGTAATACTAACTCTTTTGTGTGGGTGTGGGTATGGGCTTTGAGTATTGTAGCTAGGAGACTGGAGGCTGGAGGCAGTGTAGATGTCATGTTTGAGACCAGTGTGCAGTGTGAATGTTATGGAAGGTATTATTCCTAGAGCACAGCAAGGGTTGTTGATTTGCATTGGACAGTGAGGATGGAGCAGAATATGACCAAGAGGGTGTATAAATCGAGGGTGGAAGGAGGGGTAGGTGTTATCCCATTAAGAGTTTGAGAGAGGGTGTGAATGGGGTTTTAAGTGATAGAGGCTTGAGCATTCATCAGGTGTGTATAAGTGCATAACTGTTCATCGCAATGAGTGGAGGCAAGTGATTTTAGGGAGGATGTACTGTAGGAGTGTGAGCAACATAATATTTATGAAGGTTAGCTGGACTTGAGTCTTGGAGGTGGTAAGTACAGGACCTGGATTTTGAAGGAGGAATGGGGAATGTTATAGTTTGTGAAGCCTATGCATTTTTCCAGTTTTTCTTTTTGCTTTTCAAGATTATTATTCATGTTTTATTTGTGGAGTTCTGTCTGCAGACAATATTGTTTTGATTTCAAGTTTTTCAACTCTGTTTTTGAATATTTGCATCATTTGGCTATTTCTTGTGACTGGTTTCAAGAGTTTTGTTCCTGCTGCAGGATGTGCAGTAGCCTATCCTGGGTCCAGACTTTCCTGATGACTACCTCATTAACCATGCTGTTGCTACTTCTTATAACTGCTGTTGGGTGGTAGGAAAGTCTTGGACCAAAGGTGTTGGCAGTGTTTTCTAATATATGTATTTATATTTCCTCCAGATTTTGATACAGGTTCAGCTCTATGATAATCTCATTGGTCCTGTTGTGGATAGCTTCAAGTACCTGACATCTCTCTCGTATGATGTTCTTGGATACTGCATTGTTGAAATCCTCTCAGAAAATAAGGACAGAATAGCCAATGATGGTTAGTGACCTTTTTGTTTAGTACTTTATAAATAATAAGTTACTTTTTTTTAACACACTGGCCACTTCCCACCGAGGCATGGTGACCCAAAAAGAAAGAAAAAACTTTCACCATCACTCATACATAATCACTGTCTTTGCAGAGGTGCTCAGATACAACAGTTTAGACATCCCTTCAAACTGCCAATATCCTAAATCCCTCCTTTAAATTGCAGGCATTGTACTTCCCATTTCCAGGACTCAAGTCTGGCTAACCGGTTTCCCTGAATCCCTTCACAAAATATTACCCTGCTCACACTCCAACAGTTCGTCAGGTCCCAAAAACCATTCGTCTCCATTCACTCCTATCTAACACGCTCATGCACGCTTGCTGGAAGTCCAAGGCCCTCGTCCATAAAACCTCCTTTACCCCCTAACTCCAACCTTTTTGGGGACGACCCATACCCTGCCTTCCTTCCCCAGTAGACTTATACCCTCTCCAAGTCATTCTACTTTGTTCCCCTCAAAATTATTTTAGTAGGTTGACCTACTGTACTTATATAGCTTCTAGACAATGGCGCTCATTTGAAACTATATCTAATTACGTATACGTAATCATTTAACATCAGTTTTGAGCTTCATGATATGTAATAGCTAGGTAATAGGTTGGTACTACCGTCCTGCCAAGTGAGTGTAAAATGAAAGCCTGTAATTGTTTTACATGATGGTGGGATTGCTGGTGTCTTTTTTCTGTCTCATAAACATTCAAGATTTCAGGTACGTCTTCCTACTTCTACTTACACGTAGGTCACACTACACATGCATGTTCAAGCATATATATACACACCTCTATGGGTTTTCTTCTATTTTCTTGCTAGTTCTTGTTCTTGTTTATTTCCTTTTATCTCCATGGGGAAGTGGAACAGAATTCTTTCTCCGTAAGCCGTGAGTGTTGTAAGAGTCGACTAAAAGGCTGAGAACAAGGGGCTAGTAACCCCTTCTCCTGTATACATTACTAAAGTTAAAAAGAGAAATTTTGTTTTTCTTTTTGGGTCACCCTGCTTTGGTGGGATACAGCTGGTTTGTTGAAAGAAGAAGAAAGATATGTAATAGTCAAGAAAGTATGATATAAATAATTGTTTGAGATAATTAAAGGTGTCCCTCATTTTTTGTGACAGATACATTCCCGGTCCATGGTGTGTCAACCTTTTTATTTTTTTACACTCTATATCCCATTGAGGTAGAGTGAACCATAAAAGAAGAAATACTTCCACTATCACTCACTCTGTCACTGTCTTGTCAGAGATGTGCTGACATTACAGCTCAGATGCTCCTCCAACCATTGCTCTCACAAATAACATCATGCTTGTAGCTCCTATTGAAACTAATGCCATTGACACAATTCTCAATAACAAACTGGTTGATTTGAGGAGGATAGAAACAATGAATAAGCAGTCTAGATACCTACGATTCCTTATACCTTCTCACAAAGTGCTTGAGTCTGCCAAGGTTAACGTGTTTCCTAAGATCTTCACCCTCGTAGGACTACCCTATACTACATGAATATGACAGTCTCCTGAGGTTGATATTCACAGTAGTACTTGACCTCACTCTAGAAAATGGACACTGAGACCAATCTACACTTCCAGTCAGACTAGGAGGTACTGGTATCCAAAAGGCATCACAAATTGCACTCTCTGCTTTTCTGTCTTCATTTGTGGCATCCAGTGAACTTGTTGCAGCAATTCTCCCTATTTACTATATGGACAGTATTGGGGATTCGTGATCAAAAGCTCATTGATGGAGCCATGCTCTGGGATAATCTAATAGGCTCCACAACCAGACAGTCACACTGGGATGGCCCAGTAGTGGAGAATATAGCCTCAACACTGCTTGAGATTATGTTGGGGAAGGACAAGCTCATCTCCAAGCAGTGAGAGCTCATCATGCAGGGGATTTCCCACTTGCTCTCGTCACTTCCTTCCTTGGAACATACCTCAACTCACAGACCATCCATATTGGTGTTGCCCTTCACCTTGCCACCCCCATCCTCACCAAACACAGGTATATCTGTGGCAGTGCATTAGCAGACTGATTCAAGTACCATAGTCTTGTTTGCAGAAGATCTGAGGGAAATATTGCAGGACATGAAGAGGTTAATAACATCAAGAGGATCCTTGCAACAGCTGGATGCCCAGCAATAAGGGAGGTACCCCTAACTATGTAGATCTTATAACAACCAAAATCATCCATGTGGAATTACCTTGCAAGCCTGGATGGGCAGCAAGCAGGCGATCAGGGCTACACATTTGCATCCACATTAACTGATACCTACCTCTAGTACAGCAGGAAGGAGGGGCAGCTGCCAGCTTGAGGGAGTCCTAGAAGTCTCGAAAATATGGTGAACTTGCCCATCATTATGTGTTTGTTCCTGTAGGTTCAGAGACCCTTGACCCATGGGTAAAGAATGCATCCAAGTTCCTTAAGGAGCTAGGCAAAAGTCATCAGGGCATCTAGTTTTCCAGTGGCTCAATACTGCAGTTCAGAGAGGTAATGCCAGTTGTATTATGTAATGTAGAAGGGGTTGGGATACCTTATTCATTTGGCCTTTGGCAACTGATATTTTTTAAACTAATTTCCTGCCAAGGTGAAAGAATACATTAATTATTGTTTGTGTATCTTTTTTCAGCAATGGCCATCTCTCCTTGGCTACAGTCTCTTTCAAGTTTCTGTGGAACCGTGTACAAGAAGTATATCATAGATTTAGGAGGAATTCTTCAGTTTGTTGCCAATCAGTTGAAGGCTGAAAAATCAATTGACCTGCTTATCTTGCGAGAAATTGTCCAGAAAATGGGTGGTACAGATACCCTTGAAGATTTAACGTCAGAACAGGTATCAATGATGTTTTACATTATTTAAATATAATCAGTAGGAAACATTAATTTAGCATTAAAATATACTTATTTTATTATTTCACATAAAATATAAGAAATGATATAATTCTAATAATTACTTTTGGGCTGCTCTACCGTGTTTACATTTTTTTGTTTTGTTTAGGTTGACACCATTCTCACTTCCTCTGAGTATTTTGCATGTTGTTACATCATCCTTGGTTCTTCCATCCACCATTGTAGAAAGAAGTTTATCTGTAGAATAAAAAATGGGAAATGCTCCTGAGTATAGTGGGACCAACACTTTTATGTGGGTGTAAGGCATAGGCTTTTAATGTTGCAGGGAGGAGCTGTCTTGTTAGAGGTAGTGTGTACTCACCTATATCCTTACCTATATTTAATTGCAGGGGTTGAGTCCTAGTTCATGGCCTCGCCTTTTAACTTTCTGCTTGCCAGATTAATTCCAAGCCTTGTGGGCCCTTTGTGTGGTGTGAATATTATGCAGAGAATTTAAAGCTAGAGTTATACTCTCCAGAGAATTTTACCCCTCGTAGAACTGAGGAGGGGTTGTTGAGGTGTTTTGAACCTTTAGAGAGGATGGGGCAGTAGAGGATGACCAAGAAGGTGTATAAATCTGTTAGGGAGGGGGGTAAAGAAGGTTTTGGGGGCTAGGGTTTTCATTATTCAGCAAGATTGTGTGAGCATGCTAGATCAGATTGAATACAAACAAGTGGTTTTTATGGCTTTACATACTGTTGGAATGTGAGCACAGTAACATTTATGAAGGGATCTCACGGAAACTGGCTAGCTGGACTTCATTTGTAGAGGTGGGAAGTACATTGCCTGCATTCTAAAGGAGGGGTGGAGATATTGCAGTTTAGAGGGTCATGTGAATTGTGATGCCTGTGCACTTCTGGCAAGACAGCTGTTAAATGAGTGAAGGGATTGTTACCTATTGTGGGTCACCCTATCTTGGTGGTGGATGACCAGCGTGTTAAAAAAAAAAATCAAGTATATCTTGACTGAGAAATACAGTATGTAGTCTCTCATCGATGCACACAGGTACACTAACAAAACATTTATCTGAATGAATTAGGTGTTTTTCTTAATTGTTGTACTTTTGATTTTTAGTCATAGCTTATCATCTATAGCAATACAGTACTCATTGCTAATGCTTTTTCCATCCAGCTTGATGCTATGTGTGGAGGTGAATTGCTTCGTCGGGAGGCTGGCCAGTATCAGCAGGAAAGAAACACAAAGAGGTCTTCCATACGTCTCAAAGAAGCTCTCTTAGAGAATAACTTAGCAATTCCTCTGCTGTTACTTATGGCTCAACAGCGTTCATCTGTTGTTTATAATCAAACTGAGTCTCCTCATCTTAAGTTGGTTGGAAAGCTTTATGACCAGGTTAGTGGGGATGTTATTATGTACAGTGTCACTTAGGTTGAGAAACTCCCTTAACTAGGTTTGGTCATTAGTGCTTGATGACAGAGCATAACCACTGTACAGTACATATAAGAAAGGTTCATGTGAGAAGTTATCACTGGAAATATTTTGTGGCGTGATGCATAAGGATAGCTAAAAGTAAATATGATATCTTTATGTAATTAAGTGCACCTTAGTCAATTGTTTTATTTTGTGTGTTTCAGTGCCAAGATACAATGGTGCAATTTGGTTCCTATCTCTTTCAAGTGGTGACTATTGAAGAGCTTAATGATCGCCTGCCAAGCATTGGTACCCTTCTGTCTGATTGCCACATTAATGCAGATGTTGCATTTTTCCTTGCACGTCCACTTTTTATACATATGCTTAATGTAAGTATGTTTCCAGACTAGTAAATCATTATATTAACACATGATTTCATGGCCAGGGAGAATTGGGTTGATATTTTTTAAAGTAGTATAGGAAGGCTTTTTTTTTTTTTAACATGTTGGCTGTTTCCCACCGAGGCAGGGTGACCCGAAAAAAAGAAACGCACACTTTCACCATCATTCACACATAATCGCTGTCTTTGTAGAGGCGCTCAGATGTAACAGTTGCTGGTTATTGACAGTAAAATATAATATTTTATAAAGATGTTTTATATATCGGGAGCAACTGATATATCGGATCATTATTTAGTTATAGCTACAGTTAGAGTAAGAGGTAGATGGGACAAGAGGAAGGTGGCAACAACAAGTAGGAGGAAATTGAAAGTGTATAAACTAAGGGAGGAGGAAGTTCGGGTGAGATATAAGCGACTATTGGCAGAAAGGTGGGCTAGTGCAAAGATGAGTAGTGGGGGGGTTGAAGAGGGTTGGAATAGTTTTAAAAATGCAGTATTAGAATGTGGGGCAGAAGTTTGTGGTTATAGGAGGGTGGGGGCAGGAGGAAAGAGGAGTGACTGGTGGAATGAAGAAGTAAAGGGTGTGATAAAAGAGAAAAAATTAGCTTATGAGAGGTTTTTACAAAGCAGAAGTGTTATAAGAAGAGCAGAGTATATGGAGAGTAAAAGAAAGGTGAAGAGATTGGTGAGAGAGTGCAAAAGGAGAGCAGATGATAGGGTGGGAGAGGCGCTGTCAAGAAATTTTAATGAAAATAAGAAAAAATTTTGGAGCGAGTTAAACAAGTTAAGAAAGTCTAGGGAACGTATGGATTTGTCAGTTAAAAACATAGTAGAGGAGTTAGTAGATGGGGAGAGAGAGGTATTAGGTAGATGGCGAGAATATTTTGAGGAACTTTTAAATGTTGAGGAAGAAAGGGAGGCGGTAATTTCATGCACTGGTCAGGGAGGTATACCATCTTTTAGGAGTGAAGAAGAGCAGAATGTAAGTGTGGGGGGAGGTACGTGAGGCATTATGGAGAATGAAAGGGGGTAAAGCAGCTGGAACTGATGGGATCATGACAGAAATGTTAAAAGCAGGGGGAGGATATAGTGTTGGAGTGGTTGGTACTTTTGTTTAACAAATGTATGAAAGAGAGGAAGGTGCCTAGGGATTGGCAGAGAGCATGTATAGTCCCTTTATATAAAGGGAAGGGGGACAAAAGAGATTGTAAAAATTATAGAGGAATAAGTTTATTGAGTATACCAGGAAAAGTGTACAGTAGGGTTATTATTGAAAGAATTAGAGGTAAGACAGAATGTAGGATTGCGGATGAGCAAGGAGGTTTCAGAGTGGGTAGGGGATGTGTAGATCAAGTGTTTACATTGAAGCATATATGTGAACAGTATTTATATAAAGGTAGGGAAGTTTTTATTGCATTTATGGATTTAGAAAAAGCATATGATAGAGTGGATAGGGAAGCAATGTGGCAGATGTTGCAAGTATATGGAATAGGTGGTAAGGTACTAAATGCTGTAAAGAGTTTTTATGAGGATAGTGAGGCTCAGGTTAGGGTGTGTAGAAGAGAGGGAGACTACTTCCCGGTAAAAGTAGGTCTTAGACAGGGATGTATAATGTCACCATGGTTGTTTAATATATTTATAGATGGGGTAGAAAAAGAAGTAAATGCTAGGGTGTTTGGGAGAGGGGTGGGATTAAATTATGGGGAATCAAATACAAAATGGGAATTGACACAGTTACTTTTTGCTGATGGTACTGTGCCTATGGGAGATTCTAAAGAAAAATTGCAAAGGTTAGTGGATGAGTTTGGGAGTGTGTGTAAAGGTAGAAAGTTGAAAGTGAACATAGAAAAGAGTAAAGTGATGAGGGTATCAAATGATTTAGATAAAGAAAAATTGGATATCAAATTGGGGAGGAGGAGTATGGAAGAAGTGAATGTTTTCAGATACTTGGGAGTTGACGTGTCGGCGGATGGATTTATGAAGGATGAGGTTAATCATAGAATTGATGAAGGAAAAAAGGTGAGTGGTGCGTTGAGGTATATGTGGAGTCAAAAAACGTTATCTATGGAGGCAAAGAAGGGAATGTATGAAAGTATAGTAGTACCAACACTCTTATATGGGTGTGAAGCTTGGGTTGTGAATTCAGCAGCGAGGAGGTGGTTGGAGGCAGTGGAGATGTCCTGTTTAAGGGCAATGTGTGGTGTAAATATTATGCAGAAAATTCGGAGTGTGGAAATTAGAAGAAGGTGTGGAGTTAATAAAAGTATAAGTCAGAGGGCTGAAGAGGGGTTGTTGAGGTGGTTTGTCATTTAGAGAGAATGGATCAAAGTAGAATGACATGGAGAGCATATAAATCTGTAGGGGAAGGAAGGCGGGGTAGGGGTCGTCCTTGAAAAGGTTGGAAGGAAGGGGTAAGGGAGGTTTTGTGGGGGAGGGGCTTGGACTTCCAGCAGGCGTGCAAGAGCGTGTTCGATAGGAGTGAATGGAGACGAATGGTATTTGGGACCTGACGATCTGTTGGAGTGTGAGCAGGGTAATATTTAGTGAAGGGATTCAGGGAAACCGGTTATTTTTATATAGCCGGACTTGAGTCCTGGAAATGGGAAGTACAATGCCTGCACTCTAAAGGAGGGGTTTTGGGATATTAGCAGTTTGGAGGGATATTTTGTGTATCTTTATACGTATATGCTTCTAAACTGTTGTGTTCTGAGCACCTCTGCAAAAACAGTGATTATGTGTGAGTGAGGTGAAAGTGTTGAATGATGATGAAAGTATTTTCTTTTTGGGGATTTTCTGTCTTTTTGGGTCACCCTGCCTCGGTGGGAGACAGCCGACTTGTTGAAAAAAAAAAAAATCTATGTTAATGTAAAATAAGACATTTAATGTGCCCAATAGTGATTATTATTACATACTATTAGTACAGTGGTACCTCGAGTTTCAAACTGCTCCCAACTCGACCAATTATGTAAGTGTATTATTGTGAGTGTATATTTTTGGAGGTCAGAAACAGACTAATCTAATTTACATTATTCCTCATGGGAACAAATTCATTCGGTAACAGCACTCGAACAGCCTTCTAGAATGAAGAAAGTTTGAAACCTGGGGTACCACTGTATTATGTAATGTTTTCCCTCTGCCCAGCTACCACACGTCCATAGCACATAAACATAGCATGTTTATATGCTATGTAACGTGTTTCTTACATAATTTTTAAGGAAATGTCATAGATTGATTAATGAAAATGTCTATACATGTATTAACATAAAATAAGACATTTAATGTGCTCAAGAGTGATTATTATTATGTACTATTAGTATTACTATGGTGTTAAGACTAGAGGGACACACTTAGTGATTTTAATGTGTACCTGCATGCCAGCACAGTGTGTAAGTATATTTAAGTACAGGTACACAAATATTATTATCAGAACACACATAAAATATGCAGTAACTTTAAAACACTTTAAATTTTGGAAAGTTTCCAGACAGAGAGATGTGCTCACAGAGAATGTCAACAAACCGGGTGGCGGGCGTTGTATTAGAAAGACAGGTTGCTGTATAGCAAATTTTTGGTCATACCTGGAGTTTACCTGGAGAGAGTTCCGGGGGTCAACGCCCCCGCGGCCCGGTCTGTGACCAGGCCTCCTGGTGGATCAGAGCCTGATCAACCAGGCTGTTGCTGCTGGCTGCACGCAAACCAACGTACGAGCCACAGCCCGGATGATCAGGAACTGACTTTAGGTGCTTGTCCAGTGCCAGCTTGAAGACTGCCAGGGGTCTGTTGGTAATCCCCCTTATGTGTGCTGGGAGGCAGTTGAACAGTCTCGGGCCCTTGACACTTATTGTATGGTCTCTTAACGTGCTAGTGACACCCCTGCTTTTCATTGGGGGGATGGTGCATCGTCTGCCAAGTCTTTTGCTTTCGTAGTGAGTGATTTTCGTGTGCAAGTTCGGTACTAGTCCCTCTAGGATTTTCCAGGTGTATATAATCATGTATCTCTCCCTCCTGTGTTCCAGGGAATACAGGTTTAGGAACCTCAAGCGCTCCCAGTAATTGAGGTGTTTTATCTCTGTTATGTGCGCCATGAAAGTTCTCTGTACATTTTCTAGGTCGGCAATTTCACCTGCCTTGAAAGGTGCTGTTAGTGTGCAGCAATATTCCAGCCTAGATAGAACAAGTGACCTGAAGAGTGTCATCATGGGCTTGGCCTCCCTAGTTTTGAAGGTTCTCATTATCTATCCTGTCATTTTTCTAGCAGATGCAATTGATACAATGTTATGGTCCTTGAAGGTGAGATCCTCCGACATGATCACTCCCAGGTCATAATTTGAAATCACCGTGTTAGCGGAATGCCGTAAAGCAGGGACCTACTGTATTATTGTAAGCTAGTAGAAAGAGAAACTAGGGTACTAAAGGCCTAAGAACATAGATGATCAAAAAAGTATGGGAGCTAGAAAATTAATTGATACATGCATTTGTCAGATGGTGAATTTATAGAATGTTAGTTAATAGCTACAGAACATTATTAATATGTGTGCAATACTCTTCATACCATTTTACTAGTTAATTTTGAAAATTAAAGCATTGTCTTACACTGCAGTCAAAATATGATGAACTAAGACGGCAGGACAAGGGTGAGAAGAAGTTGACACTGGAACAGAAGAAGCTGCGTTATATAGAAGCATGCAATGAAGTGTTTGTGCCCATTGTTTCCAGCATTAGACCCCACTTCAGCATTAAAGTAAGTGCCTGTCTCTCTTCTGTTCACTTTACTTATGTAGAAATGTGTGATAGCAACAACAAAGGTATACACCAGAAAATTTGCTTGGTAAGAGAGCACTAAGTGCGGGAGAGCGTTTATTTATGTTTCGCCCATTGAGGGCTTTCTCAAGTACAGAAGACATAAGAACAATGCATGTTAAATAGTGCACTTAGCCTCTGAAACTGAAGAAATATTTTGTAACATCCCTGTGTCTTTAACTTTGATCTGTGTCCCTGAGTCCCACCTTTCAAATAGCTTGTTCCTCTCTGGGAGGGAAGGCAATAGGTGCTTGTGGGCACACCTAGAATTGAATGATAAAGATGAGTCATAAGGATGGTAGGAAATATTTCTTTAGTCTAAGGGTAGTTAGAAAAATAGAATTATCTTGATGTAGATGTAATTTAGGCAGACTCTATAAACAGTTTTAAAAGTAGGTATGATAGGGCACACAAGGCTAGGAGGGAGTGAAACTAGTAAGCACCAAATTAAGAGGTGGAACCAGGAGCTAAGACTTGATTTCTGTGACCATGTAAGTTTATTGTAGTGTATCTATAAATTGTGTGTAGAGTTCTGTAGGCATACAGTAGAGTACTTTTGTTTTTGTTTTCTCCACCTTTGTAATGTTATTCTGCTTTAACAGCCACTCAGAGAATTCTGGCATATTAGTGCATTATATCAAAGGTATACCGGACTTAATGCACTTATAAATGGAGCGAGGAAAGGTTTAGTGTTAGCTTCACTAATCAGTGAACGAGGGAATTTGGGAATAGTGTCAGTGGTTGATGCCTGAATAGATTTCTGCCTAGATTGTGCTACAGTGTCTTAATTTTGTCCATAGGTGTGGGAGGACATGGACCCATCATTCTTCCTGACTTTCTGGACACTTACGATGTCCGACCTGGAAGTGCCTCTGCATATGTATGATAAGGAAATTAAGAAAATTGATCCAAATGTAAGCCTGAATTTATCATATTTACTTTTACCTATATTTCTCACATTCTCAAATTTTTTTTTTTTTTTTTTTTTTTTCAACAAGTCGGTCGTCTCCCACCGAGGCAGGGTGACCCAAAAAAGAAAGAAAATCCCCAAAAAGAAAATACTTTCATCATCATTCAACACTTTCACCACACTCACACATTATCACTGCTTTTGCAGAGGTGCTCAGAATAAAACAGCTTAGAAGCATATACGTATAAAGATACACAACATATCCCTCCAAACTGCCAATATCCCAAACCCCTCCTTTAAAGTGCAGGCATTGTACTTCCCATTTCCAGGACTCAAAATGAGTGCAGTAATTTCTTAAGAGTGCATTTAGAAAACAAATTTTTGTTGTTCACTGTTAATTTAAAAATTTTTGCTTTAGCCCTCAGGAAATAAGCGAAAGAAGGAAACAGATCGTTTGCTTGCATTGAAAGAAAAACTTCAAGAGGAGGAAAAGCGCCAGAAGGAACATGTGGAGCGTGTTCATGCTAGACTACAACAGGTAAATTATACATTATTGCTATCTGAATGTCATTATTGTTAAACTCCCTTTTTCTGTGAGGATATGTACCTGTGGCATTTGAAGATCATAAATTTTTTAATTGATACCATATCAACTGATACGTGGTAACACTAATTTATTGTATATCAAATAAGGGGATCATTGGGGTAATCTGAGGGGGGGGACATAGACCTGCTCTGCATGGGTCAGTAGGCCTGTTGCAGTGTTCCTTCTTTCTTATGCTCTTGTAAGGATTAAGCTTCATCACTGAATTTCTGCATGATGTAAATGCATTAATGACTGTAATATAATATTAGAAAATAATTATGTATGTTCGTGTATACATTTTTAAAAAATACTAACCTAAATGATTTTAATGTTATGTCATCAATGACAGGAAAAGGACCGATGGTTCATGTTACGTGCTGCACGCTCTCCAAAGAATGACACAGTGACTGCTTTCCTTCAGCTGTGTCTCTTCCCACGATGCACCTTCACTGCTCTTGATGCTATATACTGCGCTAAGTGAGTTGATTTGCTTCATATCATTAATAATACTGTTCATTTTCAAGGAATAAACAGCATTCTCTTTTAATGTTAGTGAGCTCATATTAAATTTTTTGCAAATTATTATTATATGCCAGTCACATCTTTTGATCTTAGATATCAAGACATGAATACTCCTCTAATAGTAAAATACATAATTATGAAATAAAAACTATTCCAGGTGAGTGTAATTGATAGAACATTCAATTTCTTGTTTTCAAAATAGGATAACTCAAGCAGGTCCTCCCTATGGATTTTTTTTTTTAACTCCTAACTGCTGTAATTACATTTTTTGTCACTGTTAGGATATTAAAACACTTTTTGCTGATATACTTTGAACATGAAGCACATACGTATAGTCATAATGTAGAGTTTTCTGTTGTAGTTGTGTGGGTACCCACCTAGAGGTCAGTTGGTATTTTAGATCATTTTTGCAGGTGCAGAAGTTGTTTTGATAGAACTAAGAGTTTCACGTTTTTCTATTTTATGGATATCTCAGGAATGGTTAACGATAATTGCAAATTTAGTACATATACAATGTAGTCTTTAAGTATTCTTTAGGATAATGTTATATAACATGTAGACTTGGTTTTGTAGCCCCCTGGTGATAGTTTTCACAAGTAATTAAGATGAAACTTTTGTTGGGGATGTCGATTTTGGTCATTGTTTTGTCACTGTTCTGGTTTATTGTCAAATTCGATAACCTATTCCTTGGTGTTACATATGGTAGTGCATTACTTTTAACTGAATTAAGTAGGTTTTGCTATTACTGTATACTGACTCAATTTTTGGTATACGTGTCCAGAGGGCTGAGGAAGGGTTGTTCGGACATGTAGAGAGAATGGAACGAAACAGAATTACTTCAAGAGTGTATCAATCTGTAGTGGAAGGAAGGCGGGGTAGGGGTCGGCCTAGGAAAGGTTGGAGGGAGGGGGTAAAGGAGGTTTTGTGTGCGAGGGGCTTGGACTTCCAGCAAGCATGTGTGAACGTGTTTGATAGGAGTGAATGGAGACAAATGGTTTTTAATACTTGATGTGCTGTTGGAGTGTGAGCAAAGTAACATTTATGAAGGGATTCAGGGAAACTGGCAGGCCGGACTTGAGTCCTGGAGATAAGAAGTACATACAGTGCCTGCACTCTGAAGGAGGGGTGTTAATGTTGCAGTTTTATAAACTGTAGTGTAAAGCACCCCTCTGGCAAGACAGTGATGGAGTGAATGATGGTGAAAGGTTTTCTTTTTCGGGCCACCCTGCCTTGGTGGGAATTGGCCAGTGTGTTAAAAAAAAAAATTTATTTAAAAAATTTTATTTAATTTTATCTCAAGATGGGAAAGATGTCAGCAAAGTTAGGTAGCTGGGAGACTGAAATGAGGCCTTGCCTCCTCATCTAGTAAAACAGTGAAATCTGGGAGAGGGTTGCAAACTAGAGAATTAAGACTTGCTTGAGCTAATGGGATTGAGCTTAGAAGAAACAATGAACCAGTAAGACTTTATCTCACTGGAGGAGTAAAGAACAAGGGAGAAAATGATTATGACATGAAATACTAATGGGCATTGATAGGATAGACAGAGATAAACTCTTTACAATGGGACATGATTGGAAATTACAAAACCCATAGGAGCCACAGAGAATTTTTTTTTTTATAGCTGGCTGTATCCCACCGAGGCAGCGTGACCTAAAAAGAAAAACGGAAGATTTTCTTTTTAAATTTAGTAATTTATACAGGAGAAGGGGTTAGTCCCTTGCTCCCAGCATTTTAGTTGCCTCTTACAACACTTTCACGGCGCGCATAACGGAGATAAAACACCTCAATTACTGGGAGCGCTTGAGGTTTCTAAACCTGTATTCCCTGGAACGCAGGAGGGAGAGATACATGATTATATACACCTGGAAAATCCTAGAGGGACTAGTACCGAACTTGCACACGAAAATCACTCATTACGAAAGCAAAAGACTTGGCAGACGATGCACCATCCCCCCAATGAAAAGCAGGGGTGTCACTAGCACGTTAAGAGACCATACAATAAGTGTCAGGGGCCCGAGACTGTTCAACTGCCTCCCAGCACACATAAGGGGGATTACCAACAGACCCCTGGCAGTCTTCAAGCTGGCACTGGACAAGCACCTAAAGTCAGTTCCTGATCAGCCGGGCTGTGGCTCGTACGTTGGTTTGCGTGCAGCCAGCAGCAACAGCCTGGTTGATCAGGCGCTGATCCACCAGGAGGCCTGGTCACAGACCGGGCCGCGGGGGCGTTGACCCCCGAAACTCTCTCCAGGTAAACTCCAGGTAAACACATGGCTTACGGAGGAAGAATTTTGTTCCATTCACCCATGGAGATAAGAGGAAATAAAGAAGAGCAAGATCTGTTAAGAAAATAGAAAACTCAGATGGATATACATATATTTTTTTTTTTTTTTTCAACAAGTCGGCCGTTTCCCACCGAGGCAGGGTGACCCAAAAAAAAAGAAAGAAAATCCCCAAAAAGAAAATACTTTCATCATCATTCAACACTTTCACCACACTCGCACATTATCACTGTTTTTGCAGAGGTGCTCAGAATACAACAGTCCAGAAGCATACACATATAAAGACACACAACATATGTAGTATGTAGTATGTGTAGTGTGACCTAGGTAAGCAAGATATATCTGATATCCCGCATGTAGCCACAGAGATCTTAGGAAATATTTTCCAGTGTACAGCAAGTGGTAATAAAGTGGAATGAGGTAAGGAATGGTGCAGTGAAGGCAAGCTCTAAGGAGATTCAAAAATAGATACAAGGCCCAGTCATGTTGATTGAAATTTAAGAGGCAGAACCAAGAGCTTGAGATCATCCCCACATCATATCTGCCCAACTGTCAGTGCTTGTATTTTGTTTAATATTGTCCTTAAAGTGCTAAATGTTTCTGTCCTTAAGTTAGTGATGCAGCTGGAGAAGTTGACTTGTTGATGACTATGTTATCCAGAATTTCAGCATTAATGATAAATGACATTCTATTAGGGAAGTGATGTAGTTGGAAATAGGAAGACAAAAGCAAGTAGAAGTTCTAGAGAAGTAAGCACCAATGAGAGTTGCATCCACTTTTTATAATGGTACAAACCTTGGTAATTGATATTGGCAAATCGGTATAAAACCACTTTTTTTTATAATACATTCTATGAAATTCCTGTGTTGTTGCAAGTGGATAACAAAGAAACAGGAAGTAGTATTGGGTTCGTTTGTATAGGCAAACAACTCTTATAAACAGTATTACCTGGAGTTTATAATATGAGGTAACCTTGAGTGATACTACAGAGAAGAAGCAGCCATAGCAAGCAACAAAAGGGAGAAAGCCTACTGTAAGTAGATAGTCCTGTCTTCTATTATCAATGTTTAAAATATGTTTGTAAATATACAACTGCATTATCTAATTTTGTGTACCTATGTAGTTAGACTGAGAACTGATAAGCTAATTGTCACCTTTATCTGCAGGTTTGTCAAGATGTTACATAACCTTAAAACACCAAATTTTTCTACACTCATATGCTATGATCGGGTGAGTGTACCTTGTGTTTTCTGCTGCAGGCATTGACCTGTATTGTAGTGTTAGCTAAGTACAACAAGGTTATAGCAGAATAATGTGAATTTTTTGGACAGATTAAAAAACCCAGCTCAATAGATAAATTTTAATCAGCTTGAGCCCACTCAAGGTATTGGTGTATATTTCAGATGTACTGTGATATAACATACACTGTTGCCTCCTGCACGGAACAAGAAGCTCATAGGTATGCAAGATTCCTTCTGGGCACTTTGGAAACTGTTATGCACTGGCATGCATCACAAACTAATTATGAGAAAGAGTGCGCAAACTACCCTGGATTTGTCACTAAATACCGTGTATCACGGCAAGAAGCAAATGATTATGTAGACTACGAGAATTACCGCCATGTTGTTCACAAGTGGCACTATAAAATAACAAAGGTGAGCCAAGACTTAACAGATAGTACAGTAATACAGTTGGAGGCGCTTGATTTTACTTTCACTGAGATTAATTTTCACTGGCACATATTCCCTAGCTGTCTTTCCAGAAGTGCATGGACATCACAATTCACCTGACAGGACATCACAATTCACCTGACAGACTCTCTGATCTGCAGTATTCTCCCCCATCCTCCAGAGTGTAGACATTATACTTGCTCCTCCAGAAGTAGATTCTGATTAATGGATTTAACCAAATCTCTTTATAGAAGCTGTCATACTTGACGAGAGGAGAAGAGCCCTGTATTTTCCCAGCAGATAATTTATTGAAAAGTTTACACTACCAGTGGATGTAAACTACTACTTCACCCCTTGATAGAGTACATATCACCACTTAAGCACAACCTAATTACTCAAATATCAGTACATCATATATCAAATCACAGGGCAAAAGTAAGGTACCATAATTGTATTCTCTGTATTCCCATAGGTACATGGGAATACAGAAAATACAGTTATTTATTACACTAATAGTGGAGGCATGGAGAATATACAATTACTAGTTGCTTTACCACTTAAGAGTCAATGAAAGGGAATAATATAATACTGTAGGGAAAGTTTTACAAGTGAGCTCCATACTAATGAGAGCAAAGGATTCACAGTATATATATACACTGGTATACATAATCACTTACAGTTAGAAAATGTACTTCCTCTGTGTAGAGCACTTTGGAGGTCTCCATCATAGGACACAGTCTCACCTCTCCTTGGTTTGCTTCCCCACAACTTGACTGTCTCATCTTCACACCACTGTGGTTCATCTCTCTAACACACATATTTCCTGTGTATCCACAACAGGGAAGAACATAAGAGTACTTTCTGAACACCCTCTCTTTCTTGGATGGGAGAATTGGGATAACTTTAGTAGTTCTTAAAAGTCGAGCTGATAATAAACTAAGCATTGCAACATTGCAGTGCTACCTTGCTCACACTCCAGGTGTGTTAAATCCCAATAAACAATTGTTTCCACTTTGATTTAAATTGCTCTCACATACCTGCTGAGTGCTTAGCCCCTTCCTTTTTAAAACTGAGCTCATTCCTTAATTCCAACCCTTTCTTGGATATCCTGTACATCTCATTATATTTATCCCTAGGTTTATATATTCTATATCACCCTATTTTGCTCCATTTTTTAAATGAACACAATTTTTAAACAACCTTTTTCCACTCTTTGAATTACAACTTTCTTCCCACCACACTGTCTTAATTTTTCATTATTTTAGGCATAATATTCTCAGATGACTTTAGAACTGCCTCCAACCTCCTCCTCGTTTCAAAATAGTACAAAGTTCATGCTTCACACTCAAATAAATGTATTGGTACCCTGTACAGATACATTTCTTATTTTACATGCAGTGACAGATTTCTTCTTTCCACAGATTTCTCAATAGCTTTGTATTTAATGTTCATACCAAACTTCATTAACCTTTTTAGGGTTGGAACCCTTTATCTAAAACTTACTCTCAGGGTCGGAGAATTTAAAAAAAAAAAAAATCCTTATGAAATGATAGAGAACCTTTCTCCGAAGGTAATGAAACCAAAAGTATGAAATTTGATGGAAAATTTACAGAATTATGCTCGTGCAAAGTTAGCAGTCGGCAGTATTTACACACTAAAATGTTAATTTAAAAATAGGGTCCAGAATAAACAGTGTAGACATTCCTGGCACTAAAACATTTCCTCTGTTCATTAGTCACGTCTTCAGGTCTCTCATATACTGTTATGCTTGCTTTCCATTTTGAATTTTTATTCACACAAAAAATAGAAGACTTACTGTTATGCAGAATACTGCGTTATTGTAATAACTGTACAAATAATGTCAGCACATTCGTGAATGCATATTAAACTGACCAGTTGGATGCATATTGGACGAATGATGTAATTTGTGTACTTTGAAATATCAATAACAAATCAAACATTCTGCTACTTTGAGCCCAATTTCGTGTTACTCTCTGTCCTGAAACCATGTGTATTTCATGTTGTCTGTTTCTGTAATATATCTTCCATTCTATCAAATAATACTAAGAAACAGAGAATACAACCTAAAAACCATACGAAAAACACTGCAAAGTTGTTTTAAACCAAAAACAAGGTCACAGTTTTTTCCCCAGTGTGCACTGTGTGCTGCAGGACTTTTTTTTTATATGGTGCACACTTACTACATAGACACATTTTCTCATACCTAGGCCCAGCTTACTGCTCACGGCTTATCTGAGCTGAACTCATGGCTTAAAACTACGGGACCAACCTGTGGTTCAAAGCCGTTGTACTACAGGACCCATCTCGAAAGGGTTAAAGGTAATTTAAAGAAACTTAATTATAACATTAAGGCTGTCATATACTGTACAGTTAATTCTAATTTTCCAGGCTTTGGTAACATGTCTTGAAAGTGGTGACTACATTCAGATTCGCAATGCAATCCTTATTCTTCAAGGAATCATTCAGCGTTTTCCTGCTATTAGCAACCTTGCTGCAGTCATTGAGAAGAGAATAGAAAAGGTAAAGAATTTTTTTTTTTTTTTAAGAGTAAAGATTTTGTGCAGTTAGCTGTACACCAGTGTTTCTAGCACTTTCTTGATCCCAGGTTAGGAAGTCTTTTTAATGAATGAGTTCCACCTTACGCATTGGTGAGGAGAAATTTCACTAGCATAAGATACGCAAGAATATGTGAAAAACCACAAAAGGTAAGTAATATATTAAACAAAGTTTTGCTTAGTCTTAGGAAACCTTGTTGGGCGATATTATCATCATGTAGATTCTCTGCCTAGATAGTGCTTTATTCATATGAGATGAACTTGTATTGTGTATGTAGTAATTCCCCCTCATGTACCTGAAAATTGCTGTCTTCAGTAAAATAGCTATCTATACAGTAAAGAACGTACGGGAAAAATGGGGTGACATTCCAGACACCTTTTTTTAAATATAAATAGCAAAAAATTATAAATTTTATCTTACATTACAGTTGATGTTGCTTGTTGAATTGGAAGTATGCAGACAGGGTTGATGTGGCCCTACTGGGCAAGCCGATTATGAAAATCTTCACAGGTTACTAACAAATTACTCACATTGATTTTTTTTAGATTTGCAGAGTGATATTAAGGGTTTTGTAGTGTTATGGTATTTTTTTTTTTTTTTTTTTTTTTTTTTTTTTTTTTTTTTTTTTTTTTTTTTTTTCAACAAGTCGGCCGTCTCCCACCGAGGCAGGGTGACCCAAAAAAGAAAGAAAATCCCCAAAAAGAAAATACTTTCATCATCATTCAACACTTTCACCACACTCGCACATTATCACTGTTTTTGCAGAGGTGCTCAGGATACAACAGTCTAGAAGCATACACATATAAAGATACACAACATATCCCTCCAAACTGCCAATATCCCAAACCCCTCCTTTAAAGTGCAGGCATTGTACTTCCCATTTCCAGGACTCAAGTCCGACTATATGAAAATAACCGGTTTCCCTGAATCCCTTCACTAAATATTACCCTGCTCACACTCCAACAGATCGTCAGGTCCCAAGTACCATTCGTCTCCATTCACTCCTATCTAACACGCTCATGCACGCTTGCTGGAAGTCCAAGCCCCTTACCCACAAAACCTCCTTTACCCCCTCTCTCCAACCCTTTCGAGGACGACCCCTACCCCGCCTTCCTTCCCCTATAGATTTATATGCTTTCCATGGTATATAGCTATTAAAAAGCTATTTAGGGTCACTTTATGGGAGGTCTTACCATATAATAAATGTACTATATAATGTTTGCAGTTTATTAAAGAATAAAAAGTCACAGTACCGTGGCTGGAACAATACATGAATAATTCGCACTTAGGGGACTGAAACTTGTGATGATGTTTCAGTCCAGCTTGAACCATTAACCAGTCACATGAAATGTTGTCATAAGTTTCAGTCTCCTAAGTGGAGTGTATTTGTATTTTGCAATTTATTCAGTTTTTAACAGAGTATCTCAATTTTAGGTTAAACTGGCAGAACGTAATCATCGAAATGATCTTTATGTTCTGGCCAACAGCTACTCGGGCAGATTAAAAGCCATCAAACCCAATATCATGCCTGAAACGGAATTCCACATAGTACCTAAACGTCCTCAGGAAGCTAAGGTTGTTAATGGAACGCAAGAAAACACCAGTGCACCATCAGGTGGTGAATCAAAACCTACAGCAGAGATGACAGAAAGTAAGATCGTGAAGGTAGGTGTTCCACAAGTACTTATAATTTATTAAATGCCTAGACTTAGAAATAGAAATGGAGTACAGTACGAATGTGTCAACCTATACATCAGATCATATAGAAGAAATTCCCATGTAATAATAATTTGGATGTTATTCTTGAATGTCTGTTCTTTCAAGATATTCACAAGCATTTGTATTCCAAGCCATAAATGCAACAGCTGTGAAGAAGTAGTACTGAAGTTTATTATCCAGAATAAAAGTATGACCATCACGATCATAGATCATAAGCTCAGCTTTCAACACAACTGAAAGCATGAACAAATTCCAGACTTAATCCTTTCGGGGTGAGTCCCGTTGTACTACAGCTTTGAAGCCCGGGTCAGTCCCGTTGTTCTATGTGATGAGCTCAGCTCTCTCAAATGAGCTATGAGCAGTAAATTTGGGCCTTGATGTGAAAGAATGGGTCTACTTCAGTACCTGTAGTATACCTGGAGTCTATGCTGTAAGTGTGCACCATATTAAAAGAATCCTGCAACACGCAGTTCATAATGAGAAAAAAAAAACTGAGACCATGTTTTGATTTAAAACAATGATTTTGTGGTGTATTTTCATATTTGTTTTTATGGGTGTATTCTTGGTTTCTAGGTCTCATTTAATGGAAGATATATTACAGAAATAGAGATGATTTTGATTGGTTTCAGGAATGAAAGTAGCTTGAAATTAAGCTCAAAGAATCGGAAATGTTTGATTTTTGCAGAGTACACAAATTACATCACTCATCCAAAATGCATCCAACTGGTCGGTCTAATACATGTTCACAAATGTGTTGACATTATTTATATGATTATTACAATGCCAGACAGCTTATACTAGTGGGAATCCCAGTTGGGAGCCAAAATACATCTTACTACACAATTCAGTATAAACAAGGCTTTTTAGTAAGTAGGTTAGACAAACCCACAGTCAATCAGTTTGAGAAGAAACAAGCATGTGGATAAACACCAAAATACTTGGCTTACCAAGATATTCTCTGACTGTAGAGAGATTATGAATATGAAACTTGCTACTTCTGACAGTCTAGTAGATTTGTCCAACAAATGACAGTGAAGACTAGGTAGACACACCACTAGAGGGATGGATTTTTTTTTTTTAACACATCGGCAGTTTCCCACCAAGGCAGGGTGACCCAAAAAGAAAGAAAAATACTTTCATCATCATTCAACACTTTCACCATCACTCATACATAATCACTGTCTTTGCAGAGGCGCTCAGATACGACAGTTTAAAAATCGCTCCAAATTGCCAATATCCCAAACCCCTCCCTTAAAGTGCAGGCATTGTACTTCCAATTTCCAGGACTCAAGTCCAGCTAACCAGTTTCCCTGAATCCCTTCACAAAATATTACACTGCTCACACTCCAACAGCTCATCAGGTCCCAAAAACCATTCGTCTCCATTCACTCCTGTCTAACACGCTCATGCATGCTTGCTGGAAGTCCAAGTCCCTCCCTCCAACCTTTTTGAGGATGACCCCTACCCCTAGTTAGTAATTTCTCTAATAGTCATAGCTGTAACTAACAAGAGCAAAATAGTAAATATGCAAAGGTTACATCAGTCACATACCAGGTTCCTACTTACCAACATTGCTTTTGCTGTCTCCATGAAAGTACATAATTAATACTGCTAGTAACTAAAATGAGTGTTGGTACAGGTAACAGGTACAGGTAACAGAAAAGAAAACACAATATTTTTTTTTAGGCTAGACCTACCATACTTATGCACCTTTTAATGTTTATGTGAATTAAAATATTTGAATGTATCTCTTAATTTTTGAACATACAGTAATATTCAAATTTCTAAGAAGTAATGGTTATAGTTATACGTATAGGAAATATAATGTTGGAATGTCTTGTTTCCTAAATGTAAATGACTACTTTTAATTGGTTTTTATTTGCTATTATTTCAATTGGTTTGCAAATAGTTTGAACTCGATCTTTTTCCTCTCCTTCATACTCGTATAAATGGTTACTAGTAGGTTGTTACTCCATACTTTTGATCATTAAGTACAATTATATTTTATCTTTGAATGTTTATCCCTCTCATTAATATTCCTAAAACATCTATATATACAGTATTCATGGATAGTTAAAAGTAAAAAATTTTTAATGTTTGTAATGGCAGATGATAGTATCTGACTCTACTAATGGAGATGTGGATGCTAAGGATGAGAAAGAGGATAAGGATATCAAGAAGGCAGAAATAACCAGGTAAGTCATCGTATTTAATGTTATCTATCTTACATTATTGCCTCAGGATGGTCCTTACCGCTCCCAGTGTATGTTTTTATTATTCTACAAATAATTTTTATCTCCTTTACATAATTTATTAATTAAGGATCTTTATGATAAATTCCTATAAACTGTTTTAATTTTGCATGCTCTAGTAATTAACCATAAGACCTAAGGATCGTGGTGTCCTAAAGCCTAGTGACATTTGTTAACAGTTTTGCATGGCTCCCAAATTCTTGTATGTTACAATACTTTGGAAATATTAATGCTACTCACAGTTGGATTATCATTTTATATGTGCTTCATTGCATGATCCTCAGTAATCAGTGTCATACTCAAAAACAATAACTGCTTTGAACTTGCAGCTTACTAATGTTCCTATTACTCAGCTGTAGATTAAACCATGTTTATATATTTTTTTTTTTTTTTTTTTTTTCAACAAGTCGGCCGTCTCCCACCGAGGCAGGGTGACCCAAAAAAGAAAGAAAATCCCCAAAAAGAAAATACTTTCATCATCATTCAACACTTTCACCACACTCACACATTATCACTGTTTTTGCAGAGGTGCTCAGAATACAACAGTCTAGAAGCATACACATATAAAGATACACAACATATCCCTCCAAACTGCCAATATCCCAAACCCCTCCTTTAAAGTGCAGGCATTGTACTTCCCATTTCCAGGACTCAAGTCCGACTATATATATATATATATATACCACACAATACTCATATGTCCAGTAAAGGTTTTCTGTACGTTCTCCAAATATGCAGTTTTTGCCTTGCTGCAAATCTGGGTCAGATTCTTCACACAGCATGTTCTCTTAGTTTTGCAGTGGGACCTTAATTCTTTTGGTCTTTCCTGGTTTGTTTTCTCACCTCACATCAGTAATTTCCTCCATGATCTGGAGCACTTCTACATTACTCCACTAGATTTTCTTCCTTATTTAAATTGAAATGGTAAATGTTTATTTTCTGTCACTGTGCTTTACCTTCAACTGTTATTGTAATCCCCAGTTTCAATATTATATGCAGTTGCTAACTGCAAAATTTTCTTTTTTGGCAGTAAATCTTCCAAAGATAAAAAAGAGAATTTGGAAAAGAAACCTATTGATGATAATGAAATTAAAAAGGAGGATAAAGAGAAAAAGGAGAAAGACAGGGATAGAGATAAGAAGGAGGACAGAGAAGAGAAATCAAAGAGAAGGTCCAAGGAGCCTAAGAGGTCAAAGGTAAGTAATACATTTTAACTTTACAAGTTCTGTAGTTATCTTAGCAGGTCGTGTAGTAATATGTATGTAGTAATATATATGTTACTAGGTCATGCAGTGATATATTTTCTTATTAGGTCATCCACTGCTATATAATTTAGTGACTTCCATTAACACAGCACCAGTTTTATATATGGATGATTTAGAGGAAACGTAAAGAATCTTTTGCAATCAGCACTAACCATTTATTTGTTTTTTCTCTTGATTAAATATTGTATGTATGACGCTGTTGACTTAGTTCCTGTGCTACCTCTGTCAAGCTTGTTGTTTTTTGCAGCCTGTTATGGAAAACCATTAATGACATGGTCTGGTCTTAATATTCTCCAAGTTGTAAAAAAAGAAAAGAAAACGAAACCATGGAAAAATGAACTGCTCAATAATTAAATCTTAGAAAATATGCATTTGTGTGGTTCAAATGTGATAATGGAATTTTTTAATTATTTTGAGTAGACTAGCTTGGGCTCAATAAAACTTAACACCTCATTGTTAGGTTTTTGGATTTGTGTTTAGTAATTTATTGTATATTTATGCAGTACGAGGATGAGGACTATGGGGAATCTGAACGAGATGAGCGACCTTCAGGAGGCACAACAGAGCGGGAACGGGAGAGCAGCGTCACATCCAACACATCATCAACCTCAACCAAGATGGAACCACCTGAGGCTTCTCCAAGAGGTAAGATATCTGTAAATGGTATTTTTGTGGCATATAGGTCAGCAGCAATAAGTTCACTTTATAAATGTCATAATGCATAATTTTTTTTTTTTCAACAAACCAGCCATCTCCCACCTAGGCAGGGTTAATTTATGTGTACATTAGACCCCGACTTATAAGGTTATTAAGAACATAAGAAGGAAGGAGCACTGCAGCAGGCCTACTGGCCCATTTTTGTTATTCACTTGTGACATTGGCATTTTGGAGCCAGTTAATTTCCTACAAACATTGATTTGCTTTTCTGACATCAGGACAACTATGTTATTTCCTTAAGGATGAAATATATATTTTTTCTCAGTTCATTTTTTACCAGACTGTTTATGCTTATTTTATGCATGGCAAGACAGCGATAGTGTGAATGATGGTGAAAGTGTTTCTTTTTTTGGGTCATCCTGCCTTTGTGGGAGACAGCTAGTGTGTTAAAAGAAAAATTGAGTACTTGTATTTATTTGATAAAAGACTATATAAGAACCTAAGATTCACTATTAACATTGTGTCATTATGGTTGGTGTGTGGTGGAAGACTAGTGGAGTTTGGTGAGGCAGGAAGATGGGTGGGTTGGCTGAGTGCCAGGAAGAAGGTGCCCTGGTTCTGTACTGCTAGTTGTTTTGTAGATGTATTCAGTAAACACTTGCACTGAGATACAGCACCACACATTGACAACACTCCCTTAACACAGCACACCTACTCTCGTACCCACTCTCACACTCACATCACCTACCCTCACACCCATACCACCTCTCAAACCCATCCCTCAAACCCACTCCTAACCTCCATCCCCTAACACCCACCCACTCTCACTCCCACCCACTTTCACACAAACCCTCTCTCACCCTCTATTAGCAAGTAAAAAGAAGCAATACTAAATGTAATTTACTGGACAAAAAGTCATTGGTAAAAATTTAGTGAAATTAGATTTGGAATATTATGGCTTGGAAACACATTAATTGTTATGCATTATTTCCTATACCAGTCAGCTTAAAATAATTTTTCTGGAACACATTAGCATCTTAAGTTGTGGCCCTACTGTATATTGTTGGATTTTCTTTGCTTACCTTTGCATCATCCTCTTGTCACACAGGCTACAAGCCTTGGATCTGTTTTCTTATCACTAAGAAATTAAAAAAATATAGGATAATGTGAAATAAAATAAGGCTAAAACAGTCGAACATTTATTTATTTTTGTTATTAGAAGCTTTAATTAAATCATTGGATGTTAAGCAGTTGCGACTTCTTTTAAGAACTGGTTGTACAGTAGAGCATAATGATGCTGCAGTGTTGGATATATATTGTACAGAGGGTAGAATGGCTTTAGTTTCAAATGTGTTTTGTATTAACTACAGTTAAACATGTGATGGACCCTCTTAACTTTGCTGACTTTGCTAACTGTGGAGGCTTTGGCTACATTTTAACTCTCTTCAGCTTTGTCAGAGTTGAACATTTTTGTAAAGTAGCAGAAGGATAGGACTCCTTCCTTATTTATCATGTGACAACTAATTCAATTAAGTTTATACAGGTTAATTTTTTAACGGTTTCATTTTTATTCACAGGGTCAAAGCGACGCAAGACTGAACATAGCTCCAAGGTCAGTATGAGGGTTGTGCGTGACCCATAATAGTACAGTATTTACAGTGTTAGTGTTAAGGGGGAAAGTGTTTCATCAAGATGGGCTGCTCCTGTCAGGAGCCCCACCAACTTTATGTTGCTGCTACACCACTCCTGCTGCTTCTGCCGCTGTCACTACTGCTGCCTCTAACACCACTCTTATCAGGTGTGCTTCCCGTTCCCCCACCATCTTGGTGAGAATGCCGTGTCATTTCACGCCATCCTGACCTGCCCATTCGGTGTGATGTTGGTCGCTGCACTATGATTCATTCCACTGCCAAATCTGACAAATGGACTTGTGCTCATATCAGCTTTTGTCAGCATCACATAATAATGTAATACAAACACTTGTCTTCAATGAAGAACTACAAAGGACAGTGAACTTTATTTGGAATTATCTGCCTTATTATTTGTGAATGCAATTATATCGGTTTTCCAAACAATCACTTTAAAGCTTATAAACATCATAAGTGTACACTTGAATCCTCATCCGGCCAAATGTTTATTAAATGTTCCAACAGTGCCTCCGTCCTCCAACTCTCGATTACCAGCTCTTTCAGCAGTGAAGGTGACTTGAAAAGGAGCAAGAACTACAAGTGAAATTCTTGGCATGTCTGGTGCAATATCTTTTAAGCCAAACCCACCTATTACTGTAATACTAAATACACCATGACTTTATGGATTAATGAAAATTCGACTGATTGTACTTGACATTTCACACTATCACCTATATAATAAATTTCAAAACATGGATGACTTCTTCTCCAGTGTGCCAAAATTGTCGTGAACATGAAATGTTTTTGGAAAATTAAAGTTAACAAGTTATCAGGACCTAATGAAGTGTTCTGCTCTCACCGTCATTCAGTGCAAGCCTACTCAATGGTCGGCTGAAAGGAAGATACAAGCAGCAGCAGCAGCACAAATTGTGTATGAGAGAGAGAGAGAGAGAGAGAGAGAGAACCTGCTTTGTGATTTGCAATTTCTAGTTATGATTTTGTTGTCTTCATTGGTTAATTTGCCCTATAATTTTTTAATGTCCCCAGTGGTTGTAGCACCAACTACCTCCTCCTGGATCCCATTCCAGTTTTCTACCACCAATGAAAAGTTTAATAGCAATTTAGATGTGTGTGTAATTGTGTATGTGAGTGAACATGTGCTGTAAAGAATTAGGTTTAGATATCAGTATGTACTGTGAGTTGAATGTATGCTTTTTAATGTTATAGGAAAATCAGTGTATGTATACTCTAAAAAATTCTTTATTAAACATTTAATAAGTAGTATTCAGAATTTAATTTTTATATAAGCAAGCTATATACATGTATATGAGAGTTATTTGATTTATTTCTTTATTTTGTTGAAACTTTATTGTACACCTTATGGTTGTTAATTTCAGATAATTAACTATGCCTTAATAAAGTTTTCCTCAAGTCTGAATTGATACAGTTGCTAATTAAATTAATTTTTATAATGTTACTTAATATTGTTTTCAGTTGCATTATTTTTTTCTATTTTTTTTCATTTGCATTCTTTCTATTTTCTTTTACATTGATGTTAAACAGCTGTGCTAGTTTCCGTTAATCATTAGAGTAGGTTGAATTATGCCCTAACATAAATATTGTTAAGCTGAATTTGCATATCATCATCAGAAACTCTCACAATACTGTAATTGGCTTCGAAGATCTATGCGAAGAGCCTAGTCCATGGCCGGGCTTCATGAGTAGAAAGACACTCAAAACTCATCAAAGGTATACCAAAGGTATAAGCACTATAGATATGTGGCAACTTAGCAGTATCTGCTAATCCAGCAGATATTGCTAATATAGTATTTCCTTTATATTCACAGGGGGATGCATTCCTAGAGACCTCAGTGAATCCATAAATTATTGATATGTTGTCACTAGAAACACTCAGCTAAATTAGTAGAGTACTTGTTATTGAAATACTGTTCAACACTTTAATTATGATGATCTGCTTATAATTGATGATGATCTAATAATAATTGATGATCTCATCAATTATCAGCAGATAATCATCATTTGTAATTGATGATTACTGATAATTGATGAGGCTCTTCTGATAATTGATGTGATAATGTTGGTGTTGGATATAAATCAGATAGAGGATTCCTCTGTAGGATAATCTAAGTATGACTGTCTCACCCACTGCTGCTACCCTGACCTTCAATTTCACTTTACTCAGTTTCATCACGATGCCATTTTTCAGTGGTAGTCACACTCGGGGGGTGCAGTATATACAAGTGTGTTGGCAATAACACAAATTACAGTGAACTCTTTTTTTTTAAAGAACTAATAGGAGGATTGGGTGGCCAATAATGGTGATTGTGGTGGATAGAGATGAGATTATTTTGCTGTGATCGTAACAAAAAAGGATAGTTTTGTAACCATGGACATATAAAGTCCATTTAATTGAGGATTCACTGTGCTACATTAACTGCAGCACACTACACAATGTACTAAATTTGTTTTCATAGGAGGAGGAGGTTGGACACAGTACTCGCCTATTTGTGGTTGCAGGGGTCGAGTCATAGCTCCTGACCCCACCTCTTTGCGGTGGAATGGCATGTTTGATAGCAATGTGCGAAGTGAATATTGTGCAGAAATTCAAAGGCCGGAGAAGAGGTTGAGGAGGTTTGGGCATTTAGAGAGGATGGAGCAGAATAGGATGATCAAAAGTATGTTTAAATCCAAGGTGAAAAGAAGGATGAGTTAGGATCATCCCAGGGAGAGTTAGAGGGAGGGTGTAAATGTGGTGTACAAAGGAAATGTACAAATGGAAAACTGGATTCAATAAAGAGGATATAAATAGCTTGTTGAGATTTCTAACCAAGACAAGATGCTCAGCAATGGATTCAAGTTAAATTTAGATTTAGGAATGATATTGGGAAACACTGGTTTGGCATTTGAGTTGTGAATGAGTGGAACAAACTCCCTAGTACTGTCACTGAAGTGTGTTCACCTATATGTCGTTGCAGAGGTCGTGTGTGGCTTGGTGTAAGCCGTAGCTATATGGCATGGGCCAATAGACCTGTTGCAGTGCTTTACTATTCCAGTCTTTATTTTTCATTCAAGGTAGGCCTAAGACAGGGATGTACATTATCACCAGGATTTAATGCATGTATAGATGGGGGTTGAGAAAAAGTGAATGTTAGAGTTTTGGGAGGTGTTTGGGATTGAAAGAAGAAAGTATCCAATATTGTCAGCATGCCTCTTGGCAAGACAGTGATGGAGTGAGTGATGATGAGTGTTTCTTCTTTTCCTGGTCACCCTGCCTTGGTGGGAAACAGCTGATGTGATAATAAAAAAAAGTTTCCAATATAGACTGGGTGTTGTCAGAGTTCCTCTTTGCTGGTGACATCACTTTGGGGAGATTCTGAAGAGAAGTTTCCAAGTTTATATAGACATTTGTGAAGGTGTGAAACAAGAAAAAGTTGAAAGTAAAAATAGAAAGAAAGAGAAGTGATGAAAGCAAAAAAAAAAAAAAAAAAATAGGTAATATAAGATTGTATGTATGATTGGAGGGAGACAGTGAATGTATTTGGTATTTCAGAATGGAAGTGCCAGAAGATGGATGTATGAAAGTTCAAGTAAATTGTAGAATAGACATGGAAAGAAAAGATGGAGTGTTGAAGCATCTGTGGAAAGAAAGAAATGTATCAGTTGAGTCAAAAAAGAATATACAAACACTTTTGTATGGATGCGAGTTGTGGTCTTTATTGTTTGAGTTTGGAAGTTGCTTGACGTATTGGAGATGATGTGTTTGAGATTAATGTGTAGTGTGAATATTATATAGGAGATTTTTTTTTTTTTTTTTTTTTTCAACAAGTCGGTCGTCTCCCACCGAGGCAGGGTGACCCAAAAAAGAAAGAAAATCCCCAAAAAGAAAATACTTTCATCATCATTCAACACTTTCACCACACTCACACATTATCACTGCTTTTGCAGAGGTGCCCAGAATACAACAGTTTAGAAGCATATACGTATAAAGATACACAACATATCCCTCCAAACTGCCAATATCCCAAACCACTCCTTTAAAGTGCAGGCATTGTACTTCCCATTTCCAGGACTCAAGTCCGACTATATGAAAATAACCGGTTTCCCTGAATCCCTTCACTAAATATTACCCTGCTCACACTCCAACAGATCGTCAGGTCCCAAGTATCATTCGTCTCCATTCACTCCTATCTAACACGCTCATGCACGCCTGCTGGAAGTCCAATTCCCTCGCCCACAAAACCTCACTTACCCCTTCTTTCCAACCTTTTCGAGGACGACCGCTACCCTGCCTTCCTTCCCCTACAGATTTATACGCTCTCCATGTCATTCTACTTTGATCCTTTCTCTCTAAATGACCAAACCACCTCAACAACCTCTCTTCAGCCCTCTGACTAATACTTTTATTAACTCCACACCTTGTCCTAATTTCCACACTCTGAATTTTCTGCATAATATTTACACCACACATTGCCCTTAGACAGGACATCTCCACTGCCTCCAACTGCTTCCTTGCTGCTGCATTCACAACCCAAGCTTCACACCCATATAAGAGTGTTGGTACTACTATACTTTCATACATTCCCTTCTTTGCCTCCATAGATAACGTTTTCTGTCTCCACATATACCTCAATGCACCACTCAACTTTTTTCCCTCATCAGTTCTATGATTATGCTCATCCTTCATAAATCCATCCGCCGACACATCACTCCCAAGTATCTGAAAACATTCACGTCTTCCATACTCCTCCTCATACATATAAAACCATATTTAACCATCAATAAGCAAATTTTGAAAAAGTCACAATACATCTTAACATTGAGGTACCAAAAGAAAATGAGGAAATGTTCAGACTTGCATGTTGATCTCTCGTGGTGTAGGAATGGTCTGATTCACAATACAAATTCGGAAAGTGGTAAAGAAGTTGGTAAAAGCTTTTTCAGGCCAATAATTATAGATCTTTCA